GTGGATCGGACGAGGACGGTGTGTCGGCGTTGTTCGATAGCGGTGCAGTATGCTAATGGAACACACGTCAAACATGCTAAATCATATCAGAAGGCATCACCCAGATTTGCCAATCATCGGAGCCCGAAAGACAACAGCAGTTCAACAGCTTATCCCCGCTGTTTTTAAGATGCTATTGGCATATATATTCCAATTGCTATGCGCCCTTGAAACACTATCATTTATTTTTGTAATATTTTTAAGACATTCTTTTTAGTTTTACAGCTTGATGAAACCTTTTTCAGCCATTATATATAATATGGCCATCTGAGTGTGTGTGGTACTGTTTGTGGTTTGTTTTTAACTGTGTAATACAGTTAATTATTCGAAATGTTAGAGTTCCCTATTTGTATACTGAAACTTGCACTACTGTTAAAAAATAAATAACAACAAACCTGGAATTATGCATTTGGGATTTTTTTTTGCTTTTTCTTGTTGTACCGAACCGTGACCCCCAAACCGAGGTACGTACTGAACCGTGAATTATGTGAACCGTTACACCCCTAGTAGTAAATGTACTATGGGATTTAGTTTTTTCCATTGGTAATAAAGCAGGAAAGGTTACACCAAGGCTCTAAAATGTATTTATAGGGGTACAGCCTGTAAATGTGCAATTAAGTTGTTACATACTGACTGGAGTTTAATAAGAAATGTGTCTTTATTGTCCTTAAGGTTTCTTCACCATTCATTTTTGTATCATTGCTCAAATTTGAACTTCCTCATCTTTCCTCCCTGCTTCCTCATGTGTTTTTGTCTCCTTTCTCGTCGGTATGCCTGTTAGTTGTTCCTGGTAGAGTGAAGCGGCTGCATTATCTAGATACATTATTGATGCACGCAGCACTCTTGACTAACACACACACACATACACACACACACACACACACACACACACACACACACACACATGCACACATACTGTACACAAACTCCACTCGCATAATAAAAACATACAAATCAAACACTCGGTTGCACATAGACACATGCGTACAGCAGGACACAATCACATAGAGCAGTGCAGGGGCGGACTGGCCATTGGGAATACCGGGAGTGTTCCCGGTGGGCCGGTGCTGTGCGTGGGCCGGAGGGCCAAAAAAAATATGCATGCCTAAATCCTACCGACCCACATTTGTAAGTGATCCGGCCACTCCCTGGAGGGGTGTGCAGTGACAGCTGTAGCAGCTGTCACTGCGCAGTGCACGATCAGGAGTGAGTGACTGAGAGATCTCGCTGGCAGTTGCTTACAGATGGATAAACAAGCTCCACATTGAGGATGCTTCCTACGCCCATGTTTTATTCCATGCGTCAAGTCAGGCAAATTGGGTCAAAATGTTATTGCATCAATGATCTGTTAACATTAAAATCAATAAATATATGCTGTAACTATTTTGCTCTAGGCAACTCAAGGGCTCAGGTAATGTGATTACTATATGAATAATGGTCCAAAATAACATTAAATGCATAGGGTTTTTTGTTAAGTGACATACTTTCGTCGCCGGCCGGCCGATACATGCTGTGCATTAAGTGGGCCTGTCTGTCAATTAATCCCCGGCCACTTTTCCCCATAGGGGGGGCGCCAAATATCGCAGGGGGGGTGCCAGGCCTCAGATGATTTGAGGCAAAATATCATATTTAGACTTTTCAAGTTAGTAGCTATTATAGGCATAAAAAGACAGAAATGTATAATTCTTTCTTTAATAGAAATGTTTCTTCTGCCCGTAAAGTGTCCAAACCAGGCTTTTCTGTATATTTTTAAAACATAGTCATTGTCCATGCCGGTTTCAGTTAGATTATTTGTCACAGTTGCTCCGATCAGATCAGTCTCCTCCATTTTGTAGATTATTTACGACTTTTGAATCCACATAAACACATCGGCAAAATCCGGCTTACTTTGAGCAGGTGTTTTAAACAGTTTAATCCCTTTGTGAATTGTTTCCACTTCCGCGCCGTCCTTTAATTTCTTCATACAGCGGGAATCCAAATGAATTAATCTTGAGTCCAATAACCATCAAAGTCACTCCAATAGTGCTCCTTAATTACGCTTTCATCCTCCTTTAATAAAATACTTCATTCATCCAGTTTGTGACAGTAGTTGTAGAATTTTTGAGACTTTTAAACTTTAATTACCGCCGTTGCGACCCGCCCCCCCCCCTTGTGTGTGTGTGGGGGGGGGGGCACAAATTCCAACAGGAGTCATTTGGGGGGGGCTCTTGGGAAAAGGTTGGGAACCCCTGACATAGAGCATGTGTCTCAATTTGTTTTTGAATGTGAGTGGGTACAAGACAGAAAAAGAGAATGGCAGCACATGCATGCTGTTACGTTATAGATGAGAGAACACAGCTGATTCTCCCCAGCCCTGTTTTTTAAGCAGTAGTTCTGTAATGCACAAGACTAATATTAAAACTCCGTTGACGGCCACATGCTGAGCTTTGTTCTGAGTACTTGCTAAACACCCTGTATTGAAACGCTAGGGCTGCACAACTGTCTACATTTTAGCTAAATTGAAAAATGGACTTGTGCAATATTCTAATAGCATGAAGCACACTCTTTGTTAAGGCTGAATTATGTATTAAAATTATACTTGAAAAAAAACTAGATTGATTGATCAAAAAAGAGGTATTCAGAAATTCAGTGAAAGAACAGTAAAGGTTGAGATAATTATGAAAGAGAAAAGTACTGGCGGTTGAGTCTTTGAGTGGGAGGGATGGGGTTGCAGAAGACTTCCCAGCATCTCTTTTCCCAGGGCTTTGTATGGCCTCATTAAATATGGATGGCGTTTGGAGCAGAGCAGGGGCAAGTGGGACTCCACAAACAGCCAGGCAGGCCCGTCCTGCTGCGCACAGTCATGCTGTCTTGTTCGCCTTGTCTGTCTCTGTTTTCCTCCCAGGACTCACTTCACTGCTGTCCCTCTTTTTATCCCCCTTTCATTTCCTTTTTGCTGTCATCTGCATATGTCCATCAACTTCCTCATGACAAAGTTCCCTTTCCTCTTTGTCTTTTTCATCTACTCATTTTCCATCTACAGTGTTTCCTCCTTTCACTCCTTCTCTGTTCCCTCTCTTTGCTTGTTTGTATTATTATTTATCTCCGTCTCTGTGACAAAAGAGTGGTGTTGGAATGAGTCCTAAAACCTGGAGATGAGTCAGCATTTTTAGCCCTTCCATTCCCTATGAGCTCAGAACAGTCTCATAATACACACATGCACACAGAAGGATTCACACTTGTATTTCCGGATCCACACTTGTGTTTTTCAAAGCACACACAAATGTGTTCCGTTTCATATACATGTAAATAAAATCCAAATACAGAAAAAAGTTTTACATCTGTATTTTTGATCCTCACATATTTGTTTTCCGTTTAAATCCCCTGAACCTGCAAACACAAACCGCTTTCTGTGCACGGATCGCTGTGCATTCGTGTGTGGGTTTTTTGAGACTCCCCTGACGCTCACCCGATTCGTACTTGTAATTTTTTCTATCTATAGCCAATCAGATGTCTCCTTCATTCTAAGCCAATCACATGAGCGCGCCCCCATGAGGGTATGATTTATTGCGTTCATGACACTTCATATACGCATTTTGTGTATTCAGCTCGCTAAACAGAGGGCGGAGCTTCAGGTGATCATGCAGAGCTGCGTGTCTCCATCAGACTCAGTAGCTGATCTGATCTCTCTCTCGCGTCCGGTTACACTTCACGAATCGGCTGACCGTCAGGGGAGTCTCAAAAAACCCACACACGAATGCACAGCGATCCGTGCACAGAAAGCTGTTTGTGTTTGCAGGTGCAGAGGTTTTAAACGGAAAACAAATACGTGAGGATCAAAAATACACATGTAAAACTTTTTTCTGTATTTGGATTTTATTTACATGTATATGAAACGGAACACATTTGTGTGTGCATTGAAAAACACAAGTGTGAATCCTTCTGTGTGCATGTGTGTATTATGAGACTGTTCTGAGTCCGAAGTCTACAGTTTCGAATGTGTTTTTTCGGTCTGCAATAAGATAAAAATGAAAATATTTTCATGTTTTGTTCTTACGACAAAAAATATGTCAGTAAATGCCCCGTTTATAATGTGTCGTACAAAGCGTAGTTGCTAACAAGGAAAGCCATCACGTCAAACAGTCTGCCTTTAGCTTAGCTGTGGTGAGGCATACCCATGCAACTGTGTAAGTATCATACACATGTGTTTGCCACAGATCTTATTTTGTCTATCAAAATAGTGTTCATGTGGAGAGAGAGTCTGTAGCCATAACTGTACAATCACAATATTATCATATGTGTATTATTAACATAATATCAATATATATAGTAATATAATATGATACCATAGTTACTGTGATTACTAGTACAATGTTTTGCATGTATATTCATCGTGTTTAAGGCCTGTATTTCTGTACAGTTGCAGATTAGGATATAGTGATATAATAATATTATCCTATTTGTAGAATTAGATTCCAGCGTTGGCTTAGGAATGTTTCCAACTTTTGTGATCCAATCATTCTCAATAAACACTAGGTCTAAAAGTTAAGTTTACTGAAAAATATAGATGTAATATTTGACAAAATTCACAGCAAGTTTTTGTATTGAACCAAATGTTCTCCAATCCATGTTTGTAGGCGTTTAAATTCAACATTGTCCCTGCTTCCTGCAATAAAGGGAAGCACACACTTTTATTAACGGGACGGTTTACCAGAATGATAAGTCACTTTAAAATGTTTTAGGGTGATGCCATCCTAAAATTGGATGACATTCAAAGCTTTACTGGAAAACCTCAAAAGAAGCTTTGAATGAAAAAAAAGACATTCAGTACAGCCCAAGTCCACTGATAATCCTGATTCCCCTGCGTCTATCTGTCTGAAGGTGTCCCATCTATCAATCTGACGAAATATGCTGTTTCTCCCAGACTGAAGCAGCCCTAAGCACACTCTAAATCCTGAATCTGACACTACGTTTGCCCTCAGGAGATGAAGACACGTCACGCTGATCCTCTTCTGAAGAACGATGGACGGAGAGCGGCACTGTAACCGGCGCCTTCATGGAGCCCTGATACACAGGGCAGAGAACAGGTATGTGCGTCAGTGTGTCTCAGTCTCTAAATACAAATGGGACACACAATTCCTTTGTATGTGTACATAGAACGCAAGATGACAAGATTAAAGGATTTACAGAGTGGTATAAGGAAAGAGTGAGACGGACAGACCGTGAGAGGGAAGTGAGTAGAGACCCGTAGACACACACCGTCTGTGTTACCCTTTTAGCCAGACTGTTCCCTAAACAGACCTGTGAGGTGGAGGTGAGCTCAGTGTAATCTGGCTCAGCGGGAGTGACGCACAAACTCCCTGCAGACACTCTTTAATCCCATTTGCATGCTTTGTGTGTCCAAGTGTGTGTGCATTCAGAGCATTATGCAAAAGTTGTGTATCAAGATTTGAGTAAAACATGCTGTATGCATATGTTGTTTTATTGGCTTATGGAAATTCAACTTCCAGGAGGTACATACTGCATGGAGTGCCATTTTCACTGGCAATTTCTCTTTTTACTTAAGCAGTTTGCCATACCTGTGCAACAGAGAAGCCATAAGGAGCATGTCTAGGTGTTACATAATGATATCAAGAGCAAAAGCTTTACATCGGAGATCAGGACTTTTTACATTAGCTTTAGGCTATGCTTGGGTGAAAGATTATAGTTCACAATTTTGACAACAATTTTGAGTGGCTGCATAACATTTCATTATAATAAAATAAACATTAAGGTGCAGCATTTCGATGAACTGAAATAATCTGTATTTGAACTTTACTGTAGGCTACTAGTACTCACAAAACATAAACTATTAGTTTTGGGTTTTTAATTATTATTAAACTGTGAATATTCACACAAATAAATACAAAATATAATAAAATAAACATTAAGGTGCAGCATTTCGATGAACTGAAATAATCTGTATTTGAACTGTACTGTACTAGCACCTAAGCAGCCAGTTTGACATTAGGACTTGCTTGTCACGGCACGTCCACAAAGCAGCGTTAAAAAAAATCTTGAAAATCTTGGAGGTGGGCGCGTCTGAAAGCTTGGGGATTTTTTGCGAGCAACGTGACCAACAACCAAGTCACATGAATCTCCCGCCCCCGACATACAAAGTAAATAGCAATGTTAAACGAAGTAAACTGGATATAAAATCCACAAACAGGCGAAAACCTACCCGTTTCACCCACTGTCTCTGCCACCTCCCTCCATGCCTGGTTCCTCCGGTTTGTATCCCGGTAAGTTATTAGCGACTGGTCATAAAGAACCGGGTGATTTTCTACCGCAATAACTAATGTCTCCTCCATTTTGAGGAATATAGAAAATGAACTGCGGTCTGGCTCTCCCAGCTTGCACGCGGTTTGATTGGCTAGCGCTTGTACTGTCAGATTTGCATAAACGGGATTTAATTGGCTGACGCTTCCACCTCAGCTTCAAAAGTTGAACATTGCTCAACTTTTGAATCCTGAAAATCCTGGAAATCTTCGCTTTGCTTCCCCACAATGCAGTTCGGCGAAAAGCTAGGCAAAGTGACGTCACCCCATTCAAAGTCAATGGGCAGAAGCGTTGGAAGATTTTTTTAACGTTGCTGTGTGGACGGGTCGTCATTGTATTTTCATGTTTTTTTAAAGAAAAATTAACTTGTCCACATTGCTTGCCGAAAGGGCAGATCTGCTGGCACTAACAATGTCTCCTGCTGTGGAGAACACCCTCTCTAGGGACAGAGGTAGCAGATACAGCCAGGTAGCGCTATGCTAACATAGCAACATAAGGATATTTGGCGTTTGTAATAGCTTTGGCTCGGTCTGAACTTTTTGTGGTGGAGGCTTAAATGCTAGCGGGAGTTGGGTTTGCACTTCAGTCTTTTTTCTTTTGGTACCGGTGATATTCACGTTCGGGTGATGCCTTTTCAAATGAGTGTGCAAGTTTGATGTATTGCCAGCCGCGTAACCAATTTGAGTTGAACAATGCTGACAAACAGCTTTGATTCGGTTCAGGCCCGGACTGGCCATCGGGAGGACCGGGAGGTTTCTCGATGGCCTGGCCTGCTAAGTGGCCTGCTGGCCTGAGGATTCTTTTTTTTATGTATGTATTGTGAACGCAACGCTGCACAAATGTGGGTCTGACTCTGCCTCACAGAGGGTGACTGGCTGTCTACATAATGTGGCCTGCTGACATGGCCACTTTCATACAGATCATACTAATGCCCTCGATTGGTCTCTGTGTGTCATTCAAGCTCGGGAGGGTGTGTGTATGTGTGGCGCGAGCGAGAGAGAGAGAGCGGGCGCACCGGTTACGTGTATTGTTGCTGTTAGCATCTGGTGCTAGCTAGCTGCGCTAACGGATATAATGAGCTGTTTCAACAACAAGGTGGAGGGAGAGTCCTCTCCTGTCAGACTGAGAGACTGATAACTACAGCTCAGGTGAGGTAAAGGACTCTGAGTGTTTAGATAGTTAACTTTGTCTAAGTTATCTCTGTGGGTCTCAAACGGTTTGGTCACCATTTATGTAAACACATATTTCCATTTGAGGGGGGAGTGAGATTAGTGAAATATGCATGAATAATACAAAACATTTTTTTAACTAGGTGAAAAAAGGTAAGATAAACTTTTAAAACTTGTTGAGAGCTAAAATTAGTCTTTGCTTCTGCCTCAAAGAGGAGCAGGGGGAGAGGAGGGAGACAGGTGAGGCTGGTTCAGGAGCACAGACACACTCACAACTATAAATGAACCAAAAACAAATAAATAAACAAGTTTCAGTGTTTTTAAATATTGGATATGGTATGTTATTGGTTATGGCCATGTACTTATGATTTTATGATTATTTAAATATATACAGTTCTGTTTCATATGGGTGTAGTCTCTTTATTTTCCCCTCAAAGTGCACCAGATTGATGCATTTAACAAACAAATCTTACCGGGGGTGCATGCCCCCGGACCCCCCTAGAGGATTTGAGGTCCACCCCCACTTAAAATATGTTCACATGAATAGATTCCTAAATAGATTTTCACATTTTTTTAAATAGTGACCCATGTCCATCTGTTTATTTTTGGGTAGTAGATTTAAACTATAGGGCTATCACTATGGGCAGCAACGCTGTAAATATTGACAAATAAATCTAGCAAAAGGGCACAAAAAAAAACTGGTAGTGGCCTGGCTGGGTGTATAATTCCCGGCCTAACTTATTGTCCCAGTCCGGCCCTGGTTCGGTCCACCTGTCTTTGTCCGTCATCCTTGTACGTAACTGCGAAACCAAAATGTTCCCAAACCGGAGACTTCAATGATGCTGGAGGATTTTCGAGCTCAACTTTATCTGCGTTACTGACTACATTTGAACGCATCCCTCTGACCAGCTCTCATAGTATGCCTCTCATCCAATGAAATGACTTGGTCGCTCTATGACGAGTTGAACCCAATGTGAGCAAATTACTCTGAATGCTGCGATGCAGCACCTGAGATTACTTCCCAAAAGTTGTTCACGTTCTCAATTGTTTACGTTTAACGTTATATTAGTTCGGTACACTTTGGTACCGAACCGAAGGGCCCGTACCGAATAATTTCGGTATGGGTACGTATACCGTTACACCCCTATAAAAAAGGTATCCGTGTGAAATAAGGCAATTTCTTCACCAAACAAATAAGGTGACCATATCTGACCAACAGAAGGACGAAGCATTTTAGAGCTTATTCAGTAGACCTGCAGTTCTGTCCTACACCTGTCCCCACAGTGGGGTTGCCAGATTGTGGCTAAACCTAACACTTGCTCTGCCAGCACGACATCCATGTCACTAGCTGGTGGAGGTACCTGGCACCACACTCCTTTGACCTGGGGTGTGTGGTGTTATTGTGCTGTGTGCATGTGTTAGTCAATAGTAGTGAACGGGCACGGTTCAGTGACTTCATAGGGAGGCGACATGTTATGGTAACGGGTATATGAGCTAGGAGTGTGCTAGCATGTGGGCTACCAATAAAGAGACACGTAATTGTGACAGTTGAACTCACGTGTATTATTGAATAACACGACAGGGTGAGGGCCATCCCACATCCTGACTTCCTGCAAGATGGTGAATAAGATAGGAGATTGGTTTCTGGTTTTTAAAAACGTTTCAAACCAAACGCGGACATTTCTCTTTTGGGCTTAACTATAAAAGGAAACTGTTGTGTCCTGTCAAAAATGTTAAGTCCAGTCATGTTTCATGTTTTGTTTAATCATTTTTCTGTCTTGTCTCCCACTTCCTATCCTGGTGTGTGTCTCCCGCCCTCATCAGCGTCAGATGATTGTTTCCACCTGTGCCCAGTTACCTTTTGTTTATAGTCCCCAGCTTCCCTTTGTTCTTTGTCAGTTTGTCTTGTCCTGTCCTCATGCCAGAACTCTGCTCTTCAGCGTTTGCTCTTTTTGAATTCATGCTCCTGTAAAACTTATTGTAAGTTTGCTCCTCACGTTGTGAGTGATTTTTTGTTACGCTTTAGTGAAGCCTATTTTTTGTCGTCTCGTTAAAAGTGCCTTATCTTTTTTGTATATCCTATTTTTGCAATAAAGTATATTACTAAATACTTTATCTCTGGCTCCCCGGGTCGTGCATTTGAGTCCTTTTTCTCTTGTGTATCCGAGTTCGTAACAGAAGCCACTAATATACATTGTTTCAGGAATTGTTTTGGAGGAAATGTTGTGAGCAAAAAGCTAACCCTTGACTTACTGTATCCAATATTCTTTGTTCAACCTTTCTTGTTTTCATTTGCTGTAGTTAAGGTGGAGCTCATTTTGAACTTTTTCTAAGAGTGATTTGCATTATTTATGAATCTGTTAATTATTATTCTGACCAATCAAATCTATTTTTTGGAATCTTAAATCAATTTAATAATGAAAAGCAAGCAGTTTATAAACATCATATTTATAAAGTGGCACCTTAAAATATTTTATATGAAAAAGTATTCAATCGACTGATAATGTTCTGTCAATCAACTGATCAATCATCATTTTATAACAAAAACATGATATTTTATAAACTCATGATATGCATTGCACATAAATATATTAGGAAAGAAACTAGCAACTAAAAGTGATACATTTATGAAAAGAAAATACGCAAGTAAAGAACAAGTATGTAAAATAGAGTTCTTGAGTTATTCACTTGTTACATTCTACCTGTAATAAGACACAGGAATACCAATTTAACAACCAAACGTTTTGCATTTGTAAATGATATGATATATATGTATTTCTCATGACACATCAATATGTTACCCTAAAAAGATAACAATGACTACAGGAGTAGAAAATGCTTCATACAGTATCCATTATTTCAACAGTCAGCAATGTAGGCATCAAGATTATTCATGAAGAAGGCTGAGATATGCAGTGTCTGGGGATTGGTGTGAGAAGGATGTGCAGTATAATATTCCCAGCACCCTCTAATGTTACACCTTTTAAAAAAAAATCTGCCGACATTTCCTGTTTGGTCTCTTATCTTGAACGCTGTGGTTGCAAAACGGGAATGGCTGTGCCGTCTCAACACATTTGACCAGAGTGGATTGCATCACTGGACCACTGAGCCTGTACTTCATCGGAACAGTCAATCAGAGCCAACATGTTTATGGGATTGGAGGGGATTAGATGTGTGTAAAAGCTTTGTTTTATTGTTGAAATACGATCGATGCCTGGTCATCCACCTTAAGAACTTTCAGAACAACAAGGTTTTCACTTTTCTTTACATTTGTATTCACTCATGATTTCACCCTTAAGGAAAGCTAGATGCAATATTTGGACCCGATCAAACCTAAGTACACTCCTGCATTTTGTCTCTGTAACCTGAGAAGTGGGATACTGTGAGCAAACAGGAAGCGAGCTATGGAAGAGATATAAGGGAGAGAGGAAGGAGAGGGGTGTTCACTGAAAGATGGATGGATAATGTGCTTATGACTCAGGAACCCCCAGGAGACATTGCTGTCTGGGTGGGTCACTCAACACTTTCATCACTAGGCCCTCCTTGCTCACCTTCTATCACACTTTTTTATTGTGATACCACCTTTTCAGTGTTCTGCTTCTGGCACATCACTGTGTACATAATGATGCACAGGACACCTTGCATTTTTATTATTTCTTCAAAACCCCGTCCCCCCACTATATCCTTTCTTCCTCTCCCTCCCTTCCTCTCGTTTCCTCTAATGGATCGTGCTAATGCAACATACGTCTGGGGGAGATTCCTTCCTGCCTCTGCTCACTGTGGGACCCAACAGGCCTGCTGAGATCATTCACTCATTCATTACAGCCAGCTATGAGTTCATACATTTATCTACCTCCATCTATAACCAATCGTTCCATTCGCTCATTCATGCATATTTGTGGATCCTTGCAGTCACCGTTTGGAGCATTCTTTATTGCTGTAAAGAAATGTTTTCACAATCTGGAAACAATGAGCTTTCGATTTTGCCTCTGGGGGCAACGACCAATGTTTCAGTTTCTGGTGATACCAGTAGATATGTGGATTACAGAAAACCAAGAAATCCCCTTCCTACGCTGGACATTGTTTACAAGCCAATAAGCAAGATGACACGAAAAAAAACAAGAGTTAATGTTCAGCGAAGATGTTGAGAGATAATGTCGGGAGACTATGTTGAGGGAGGCTGTTGGGAGACGATCTCTACGCAGTTGTTTCAAGTAGCCAGTTTACAAGGTCATTTTAAGCTTAACAAAAAACAAATCAATATACAGTAGAGCAATACAAATTGCATTCTGCCAATACCTAAAGACTATTTTGCGTTCATTACCCACTGATAACCTTAATTCAACCAAAGCTCGCCACAACCTTATTGGTAAATACTACGCTGACTACAGATAATCCTGGCCCAATTCCTTCAGATTCTGCATTTATTTGCAGTTATGTTAATAGATATTTGTTCATTCATTCATCAATTGACATTTTCATTAATTACTTATATGCTTTTCCATCTGTCATTCCAAGTAAGGGGATTACGTGAACGCTCACAAGACCATGAGTATTTATTTCCCAGTCACAGTCTGATTGATTGAGCCTTTGATGATGTGAAGGGAGTATAAAGTAACGGCTAACGACCAAGTCTCTGTCTGACTGCCACAGTCATCTGACTGGGAGTAGTGTGTGTGTGTGTGTGTGTGTGTGTGTGTGTGTGTGTGTGTGTGTGTGTGTGTGTGTGTGTGGTGTGTGTGTGTGTGTGTGTGTGTGTGTGTGTGTGTGTGTGTGTGTGTGTGTGTGTGTGTGTGTGTGTGTGTGTGTGTGTGTGTGTGTGTGTGTGTGTGTGTGTGTGTGTACTGAGTGAGTGAAAGACGTAGCCAATACTTATATTCCATGCTAATGTTTGGATCTTTTGAACATTTTAGTTTTTCAGCAATTAGGCCAAATGACAACACAGAGGAAGTAGATACAATAAAATGAACGTAATCAAAAAGTCTGCAGCAGCAAATGTGTCCAGTTTGAATCTGGATTGCTATATCTTCCAGCTGTTCTACAAGACTGTCCTTCAGAGCATTCTGGTCTTTGGCCTGATTAGGGAGATCGGTCAAGACAGGTTGCAGCCCATGATAACAATGGTGAATAGCATAATTTGGTTTGACCAGATTTTCAGTTGGTCACTTGTTTTACGATCTGAGTCTGAGTAGAGCTGAGATATCCTCAGTGACCCTGCTCACCCGTTAAACAACATGTTCCAACTAAGCCACTTGGGCAGAGAAGGAATACTGCAAAGACATTTTTACAGCAAGGTTTATCAGTCAAACAGAAGCATTTTGTGACAACTGGAATTTGGGGGACCTAACAGAATGACTTTAGACTTGTTATAAATTAATGTAACACCATTTTGGGACATCCAGGATTTTAATGTCATCTTATATAACTGAGTTTCAACAACATACAAATGCTGCTCAAGCATATCATGATTAATGAAAACCTGGTTGCATGTATATTGAAAACAGAAGGGGGCCAATAAAAGAGCCTTGAGGGACACCACAAATCATTTTTGTGGGGCCAAAAGTTAAAATGTGTGCATTGTATTTGAATGTATATATTTGTCTGATTGTGCCCTTGTGCATCCTAAAATGTATGTGGACTGTATTACATTTGAACACATCCACTTAGCAACCAATTTAGTATAAATGCTACTTGATATGAAACACATATGCATTAATCAATCATTTCAAGTAATAATTTAACTTTTTGGATCATTAGTTTATGATTTCAGTCAATTTCTGCTGAAGAATGCTACGTTTGTTTTCTTGCCTGTATGATTTCTGTTGAAATTAAGAGATTTCAGCTTTTCACCAACATTTTAAAGACAATCAACAACGTGATACTATCATTGTCAGATTAAACAAATATAAAATAATCTTTACTTGCAACCATAAACACAATCATTTCTGTCCATTTCCCAGTACCTTAAGAACATCAATAATGGCTGTAGGCCTGTGTGTGTGCGTAAGGGGATACTGCAATGAAAATTGCAATGTTCCACAAAGACCCATAAACTCATGACTCAGGACCATATATGATTTGGTCTAAACCCCACAGACACCAGAAGAGACACTCTGGTCCATTACTGTACATCTAGCTCACTAACCACTACAGCTGATCAACAAGCATTTATGAAGACCACCTGCCTCACAACCCACACAACCCATTTAAAGGAGACACCATCATTATTGGTGATAAGAAATTATTGATTGTGGACTGAGGCTTGAATGCAACAGGCAATTGGCCCATAACTCGGGTTAAGAGCCTATTAGGCTGCATGAAGTGACATCATCGTTGGCTGCAGCCCAGTAAAACACACAGAAACCCCATCGCCAAGCCAAATGTGTGTGTCAATGAAGCACTGCATTTTCCAAGCTATTTTAACTCCAGCAATTCATTTGGATTCTGATTCAAAAAATCTAAAGTAGTTGGATTTTACAGTCTTGTGATCGTTTCTGATATATATTGGGGTTTCATCCCCTAAGCTCACTGCCTCATGTTCGCTTTGTTTTGATTCACGCATGAAAGTTTCATTACATCACACCAACACTTGGTCGGGGATGTATATAACTGCAATGTTAGTACTGTTTGTATGAATGATTTGTCCTTTACCCCCTGGTAGGTAAATGGAGGTGCAGGACAGGAGCCGCTCCCCTTCCCGTAGAACCAGCCGGGTAGAGCAGGTGGTGGGACGATGGCTGAGGAGGTCCCGAGACATGGGCAGCAGGTCTCACTCTCTGAGCAGGTAAACTCTGTTTTTATCTTATTTAGATTCAGCATTTAGAGTCTCAACTTCATCTGACATATATGCATTCTGACTGAGGGAGGGAAGTCCTGTATGTTGCTACTGTGTGTTATACATATTCTATCTCTCCTTATTTTTCTAATAAACACAAATATGAAGTTGTTCACCACAGAAATCTACCAGGGCAAAAATGCTAATCAGATTCTGAAAAGGTTTGTTTTCCCTTTTGAATTGATGTGCATCTGCTCCTCTCCAGAGAGCGTGTTGGAGTGGATGGGAAGTCAGAGTGCAGCGGCTCCGATCAGAGGAATTACCCCTTCCGCTTCATCGTTCAGATCCAACGGGATCTAGACCTCAACTCTCACGGCCTCACTCTATCCTACACCACCCCCATCCTGGTGCAGGAGGTCACCCCAGGTACGAGACTTGTTAAATGTAAACATAACCGAGGGAAAAAGAAGAACAACATTACTAGAATAACTTAGACTTGTGCAGACATAATAGTAAAATGTTTTTAACAGCTCCTCCTTCACTTGAGTGCTTCTTTTAAGGGAACTGTTTTGAAGGGTCTGAAGTCTCCCTTTCCCATGGTTCTTAACACCAGTTTCTGCAGTGTTTGCTCTACTTTCTTGTGTTTCATGCCTAACAGGGACAGCTGCTACTCCTTACTCTGAAGGTGGTGGTTCCTTATAGTAGCTGCCCTGAAATGACCTGTCCTATCTATAGGAGGGTAAGAGCCATGATAACAGACATGCAGGACATGCTTGAGATTATTAATCCTATGTGACTGTAGCAAGTGCAATTAAGCATTGCTGCATTCTACTGAATGGAATTGAGATATGATTTGCTTGTAAAGACAGAAAATAAAGGCTAGGCTTGTTAGAATTAAATGTATTCTATTCTCCCAGATGCAGAGCATTTTTCTTACCATTCTCCCTGTTGTCTCTTATTATGCATAGAGCAAGTTTCCTCAGAAAATGTAGTAGTGGAGCAGTGCCAAACCACTGCAGGCCTCTGGCTGGTGTACAAGACAAGCTGTACAAAGTGGAAACTCCCGGAGAGGCTGAGACTGTATGGACTTACTGTACCGCACACAAACTCGTATTAACAAAGGAAACTTACTGTGGCTCTTATGTTCCTCGAAGGAGAAGTTTGACAAGAATAGAGACCTTTTTCTAAGCTCATTGAGATGTTCTGGCAGCGCTTGATCACAGGCTGTGTAGTGCCCCCAATCAAAAGCCTGATGTTTTTTCTGTTATGTAATAGCGAGATAAAATTGGTTTCAAAGGTGTGATCTAAATCTCACCAGAGGAGGTAGGATATGCATATCAGCTGGAGGTGTGACTGGGAAGCTTAATCAATGAAGGTGAACAAGTCCTCAGTATAAAACAAGGATGTCGTATGGACATTCTCACATAATGAGCAGGTTGTAACTGAATGAATTTGAACAGATGATAGTCTATACGACTTTACTGGGGAATGTTGGTGCATACATATGCTCCTCTGTTAGGATTTCTTTTTTTCTTAATTCAGTGAGCTGATGAGCTTAAAAGGGGCCCTATTATGCTTATTGTGGTTCTTCCCTTCCTGTAGTGTGTAATAGAGGTTTTGTGTGCATGTAAATGGTCTGCAAAGGCTAAAATCATAGTGACATCACTATGTAACACTCGCTCGTCTGTTGGTTAACGATCCAACACATTGTACGTCATTATGCTAAGGGTCAGGACATCTACAGTATAGGCAGTTGACCAATTACTACAGAGCCAGTTAGCTATAACCAATCAGAGCAGACTGGGCTCTGGTTTCAGACAGAGGGTGCAAAGAGGTGCTGCAGCACAGGCAGTATGAGAAAAATAAAGAGCTTTCTGAACATTAAAGCATGGAGACGTGTCACAATATACTGTATATATGGTAAATACCAATATAGCCAGGAATGAACAGGGCCCCTTCAAGAAGTTGTGCTATACTTTATTGAAAGGAGCATTTTAACCACACGTGGATGGCTGATTGGTTTGAAAGTCAACAAATATATCTGTCTTTCTATTTTATGGACTAGTTTGCATTTGCAACCAAAATACAATTCAGATTACAATTGTTACAAATGTTTCTTGCCTACAGTTAAAACTAAAATGTGTAAAAGTTACTACCACAGCCCTCAAGACATGTAAATAAAAATATGTGTAGCTAACATATTATGTGCCGATAAAACCATCATTTTCACTGACACCAAGTAGCAAAAATACATTAACATTTATTTTGTAATGGCTGGACAATATACTGTATACACTCGGCCTATATATATTTTTTTTTTTTAATTCTCTATACAATTCACTGTAAACTGTTTATTTTATATCTTTATATACATAGTTCTTTATATACATACACATGTTTAACTCAGTAGTACTCATTCAAATGAGTTTGATGTTTGCCATGAGGAAAACCCAGAAAAAGCACTGGGAGTATTTATGAAGTCTTTCATGGGGATTGCCGATCAGCATGTTCCTATGAGAAAATGGTCTGCCCGGTCAAAGTGTGCCCCTTGGTTGAATGACGAGATGAGAAGTGTAATGGTCCAACGAGATGATGCTAAACAAACGGCAGACAGAACAGGTTCTCTATGTGACAAACAACATTACTGTAAACTAAGAAATGCGGTAACCAAATTGAATAAATGTAGAAAGAGGGAATACTACATGCAAGAAATCAGTGATTCTACGAATGATGGAAAGAAATGATGGAAAATATTGAATAACATAATGGGGAGGAACTCAAACATGCATCCTTCTTTTATAGAAACCGAGGGTAAATTCATTACCAAGCCAGCAGATATTGCAAATCATTTAATGATTATTTTACAAATAAAGTAGATAAGCTGAGGAATGCCATGGGTGCAGTCAAGGACACAGTGTCACATCACATCATTAAAGATTGTATCATGAGGGAAAAGCAGTGCATGTTTGAATTCCACAATGTTACAGAAGAATATGTTGAAAATATGCTTTTACATCTGTCCGATGATAAATCTCCTGGGATTGACAACTTGGATGGTAAACTGCTCAAAATGACGGCCAAATACATATCCAAGCCATTGAGTCACATTTTTAATAAAAGTTTAGAGCAAGGCGTGTGCCCCGAGATCTGGAAGGAAGCCAAGGTCATCCCATTACCCAAGGATAAAAGAAAAACCTTTGCTGGTTCCAATAGTCGACCTATAAGTCTCCTCCCAGTGTTAAGTCAATTAATAGAAAAAATAGTATACACCCAAATTCAATACTACTTTTCAAGTAACAATCTGACAACGAACTACCAACATGCCTATAGAGATGGTCACTCTACAAGTACAGCACTTGCACAAATGACCGACGATTGGTTCAAGAGCATGGATGATAGGAGGCTTGTAGGAGCTGTGATGTTAGACTTTAGCGCAGCTTTCAATGTAATCGATCATAGTCTGCTGCTGAACAAACTCAAATGCTATGGCTTTGATTCTGTTGCTATGTGTTGGATGGAGAGTTACCTGATTAGGAGAAGGCAGCGAGTGTTTTTCAATGGGAGCTTTTCTGAAAGTAAGGTGTTGCAGTGTGGGGTCCCACAGGGGAGTTCGCTTGGGCCTTTGTTGTACTCTATATTCACAAATGACCTTCCTTACGTATTAAATAAGTCCAGTGTAATAATGTATGCTGATGATTCCACGATGTACAGTACAGCATCAACATGCAGTGAGTTAAACTATCTACTTAAAATAGAGATTAAAGCCATAGCAGACTGGGTCAACAATAACAAACTGGTACTCAACATTGCAAAAACAAAAGCAATGGTGTTCGGATCCAGACACATGTTAAGCAGCAATCCTCAATTAAGCCTGACGCTGGCTGGTCAGCCAGTGGAACAGGTCAACGAGACTAAGTTGCTTGGCATTGTTCTTGATTCTGGTTTACGGTGGACAAAGCAAATTGACAGTATCGTAACTAAAATGGGAAGGAGCATAGCTGTGGCGAGAAAATGTACAAAGTATGTAACACCAACCACTTTGAAACAAGTAATTCAGTCTCTGGTTTTGTCACATCTTGAGTACTGTCCGGTCATATGGTCATCAGCAGAAACACATTTACAGAAATTACAAATAGCTCAAAACAAGGCTGCCAGACTAGCTCTACACTGTTCGAAGCGCACTCATATTGGAGTTATGCATAGAAGCCTATCATGGCTTCCAGTTGAGAAACGTCTGCAATCTCGTGTTATCACTTTTTTTTTAAATGTCCAATTTAGCAAAAAAACACTGTATTTTTATGATCAAATAGTTTACACAAGAGACGAGCATGACCATAAGACTAGACAAGCTACATCAGGCCATCGACTGGCACCTAAACCCAGGACACATCTTCTGAAATCTTCTGTGTCTTATAGAGCTATAAAGGAATGGAACTCATTGCCAAACTACCTTACTGAAATAGAGTCCAGAGCCTCTTTCAAGAAGAGATTGAAGGGCCATCTACTAATGACCATGTACCCTTGTGAGCTGTGAACCCTAATTTAATTTGATCGCATGTTGTTGATGATATTGGTGATGTTTTTAATGTTTTTAATGTTATTAATGATGTCAGGACTTATGTCCTAAATGTTGCTGTATTATTGTTGTATTATTGTTGTATTGTTTTAAGTGTCGGACCCCAGGAAGAGTAGCTTTTGTCGAGAGCAAAAGCTACTGGGGATCCTTAATAAACATAAACATAAACATAAACATAAACATTTGTAGTCAATTCACATGGTACAAAAGTAAATGATACCATGTGGTAATTTCCAAAAATACAATGTATTAATTGAATGCTAAATTGCTCTTTATATCCTTATTAAGATATGAAATGACCTTGTCCTGGTAGAACATGGCCAAATCTCTGAGCGCTATGTTTCCATTAATTACCCACTAACTAAGTTATATATTTAAATGAAATGAAGAAGCTAGAAGATATACATTTATGTCCTGAAAACCAGATTGTAACTGCTGTTGATACCATACATACATACATACAGTTGCAAGAAAAAGTATGTGAACCCTTTGGAATGACCTGGATTTCTGCATAAATTGGTCATAAAATGTGTTCTGATCTTCATCTAAGTCACAACAATAGACAAACACAGTCTGCTTAAACTAATACCACACAAACAATTATATGTTTTCATGTTTTTATTGAACACACCATGTAAACATTCACAGTGCAGGGTGGAAAAAGTATGTGAATCCCTAGGCCAGGGGTGGGGAACCTTTTTCCTCTCAAGGGCCATTTCAATGTTTTCAACATCCTCCGAGGGCCGTACAAATGATTGACCTCTGCTTAAAAATACTAAAATCACAGCCCACTAATTTCACCTTTCTTTCATGCTGTGCAAAGAAAAAGCAACCTCTTAATCCAGATATCTCACCATGACTCACGCCTGCATGCACGTGCTCGGTTGTGGCATGACCACCCAAACAGAAAGATATGGACACAAGATGTGTGCAAATGTATTTAGACTCCTATCCATGTGAACATGATTTTAGTGGGGGGGGGGGACCTAACCCCTGAAGATGTTTTTAAATGTTGAAGTTAAAAGCATCAATCTGGTGCACTTTGAGAGCAACATGAAGAGATCTATGGATACATCTCTCAACATCCAGATGAAACAGAACTGGAAGCAGATTTTCTTTTTCTTTATGGATATTTTACAAATCACTCTCCTTTCAAACTGTATTCTTCTTTATTAATAACAACTTTTTTTACTGTCATATAGTATTTTATACCTGTTTACTTTATTCTCTTATTTTTTTATAACTATAATGATCATATAAAGATGTGCCTTTACCTCACTGGTTGTAGAAAAAGCTTCTTATATTCGTTAGCATAGCTAGCTAACCAGATGCTAATAACAACAAAGTTCTTGACTGTATGATCAGGATGACAGATGAACAGATCGCCACTGGGCTTACAACTAAGACACAGCCACGCAAAAAACTGCGGCATGTGTACGGCTCCTTATGGGTACTGCGGAGCGGCGTTCTGGTGCTCTCAGTTAGAACTACACCCCTGTCAGACGAGACATATACCACGTGATGACAGTTAGGCTTGTGTTGTGTTCAAGGACCCTGACCTTGGCCAGGAAAAACAGGCACTCACTTGTTTATTTATTTTGCGGTCTAGATTTCTTTAATTTTTTTCTTTTTTGTGTGTGTTTATAAATTACCTCGAGGGCCACACCAAATGGTCTCGCGGGCCGTATACGGCCCGGGGGCCGGAGGTTCCCCACCCCTGCCCTAGGCTAAAGACTTCTTCAAGAGCTAATTGGAGTCAGGAGTCAGCCAACCTGGAGTCCAATCAATGAGACGAGATTGGAGGTGTTGGTTAAAGCTGCCCTGCCCTATACAAAATACACACCACTTTTGAATTTGCTATTCTTAAGAAGCATAGCCAGATGTGAACCATGCCTCGCACAAAAGAGCTCTCAGAAGACCTACGATTAAGAATAGTTGACTTGCATAAAGCTGGAAAGGGTTACAAAAGTATCTCTAAAAGCCTTGATGTTCATCAGTCCACGGTAAGACAAGTTGTCTCTAAATGGAGAAAGTTCAGCACTGTTGCTACTCTCCCTAGGAGTGGCCGTCCTGTAAAGATGACTGCAAGAGCACAGCGCAGAATGCTCAATGAGGTGAAGAAGAGTCCTAGAGTGTCAGCGAGAGACTTAAAGAAATCTCTGGCACATGCTAACATCTCTGTTGACGAATCTACGATACGTAAAACACTGAACAAGAATGGAGTTCATGGGAGGACACCACGGAGGAAGCCACTGCTGTCCAGAAAAAACATTGCTGCACGTTTGAAGTTTGCAAAAGAGCACCTGGATGTTCCACAGCACTACTGGCAAAATATTCTGTGGACAGATGAAACCAGAGTTGAGTTGTTTGGAAGGAACACACAACGCTATGTGTGGAGAATCCAAAGGGTTCACATTTTTTTCTTGCAACTGTATGTTATATTCTGTCTATATTTGCATACTGAAGTGCAGTTTCCTCCTGAGCTCCAGAGCTACAGGGACCTGAATCCCCCTGAGGGTCCCAGGCAAATTACCTCGCTTCCGCCTGTCTGGCTCAAGACTGCTGTCACCATCTGCTGCTGCCTGTCCAGCCCACAAAAACCACACACACACACACACACACACACACACACACACACACACACACACACACACACACACACACACCACACACACACACACACACACCACACACACACACACACACACACTGTTGCTCCTGTCTCCAGTGGCCCCACTAAGACTTGGTTCAATGTGTCCTCTCTCTGTCTCTCTGACACGTGCTGCAGCATCTTCAGAGTGAAATATGAATCCTTTATTTAAAAGCTTCTTCAGAGCTATCGGTGTGACCTGCATCCGTCTATGCTCATTTTGGATGAAACATCAAGTACTTTCGGCACAATTAAAGAACTCAGTATGTGAGGGTTACCTGATGTTGTGCAGACAGAAACAGTGTCGCTGACAGTAGGAAGATAAAGGCAGATCATTTCTATCAGTATCTATACATTACACACCATTTTTAAATTAGAATATTGGTACTTGTATGGTGCAAGCATACCATGAAATATGTTCCATACGGCTTACTACTTATCAATACACACTGCATGTCCCCTTACAAAGTGCGCACATGAGTCTGCATACAAACGGGACATACTGCATATTGATTTGTGGCCCTCTTGCTTATATCCATATCACAAAATGCCAATGTAATCTGTTTTTAATCACACCTGGTATCTTTTTGGGACATACTGCACTTTTTTTGTATGTTGATATCGGTATTTAAACCAAAATAAGCTTTACACGCTTTCTTAGAAGATATTGAATGTATAAAATATGGTTTAACTAATAAGAAAAGAAAGCACTTGGCTCAGTTTAACATAAATATATTATACAAACCTACAGCTATGAGTTGATGAAATATTTTCACATTTTCAGCATGTTGTCATAAATCATTGAAAAGATTCTTTGCCATAACTTCAGCTTCACTGATGCACTAATGGAGCAGTAGTTTCTATAATACTTGACTACAGCAGCAGTTCCAAGATGTGCGGCCTGCTGTAAACATCCCTCCACTTCATACTCAGCATTAAGAGATCCTTTCTTAATGCACTGCATATCATGTATAATATAAGTTATAGGGGACAGAATGGATCTCTCACAGCCAGTAGCACCTGACTATGGTTTTAAAACAGACGTAAATGGAACCTATCCTTTAAATATGCACAGTACAGGACATCTTACTCCATGAAGTTGTGAAGCATAGGAGTTCCAAAAAAAATCTGAATTTAAACTGTTACTGTTACTTCTGCTGACAATGCTGTTGCTCTGTTATTCAAGTTTTAATAGTGCAAGCTATCCATTTTTTTGTATTAGCACAAACATAAAACTGAAAAAACAACCCAGTGTGAAAGGAGAGGTAAAGGGAATCTTCAATCTAAGGGGAAAACCAGAAACAAAAATATATAATAAGACAATGCTTTTTATCATTTTGATGATAAAAAACAGTAAAAGGAAAACAATGTATATATATATATATATATTTAGATATGATGCCAATATCCCTTACTGATGTGTACTTTGGCTGTTACATCGTTAGAGCTGAGGTAACGACGATTTTCCTTTTTTTTTAAAGATATGTGAAGATGGGAATTAAATATGATATAATATATACATGAACACATGATAGAGTATGTAATGAATGTGTCATATAGACATTTTAGGTTTAAAGCTCCTAAATATTAGGAGAAATGCTAAACTGGGCACACTAAATGAAAGCTGACATTGATGTTGGGATAGATGTTAGGCATGGTAGAATGCTCAATGAGGCCGAGTGCTTCATTTACCCTAAAATGTATATGAACAGTGATCATTACTGCAGTGATGTGGTGTGGTGCTCCTGTTGATTATGATTATGATGCATCCGTGTGAGATGAAAGGAGATCACTAGAATGAACTGCAATTGCAGTATGAATGCAGGCTGATTGAAGTGTGTGTGTGTGTGTGTGTGTGTGTGTGTGTGTGTGTGTGTGTGTGTGTGTGTGTGTGCAGGTGGGCCCGCAGATGGCCGGCTCGTCCCTGGCGACCAGCTTGTGAAGATCAATAACATTGCTGTCGATGACCTGACCCCGGAGCAAGCTGCTGAAATAATCAGGTCCTCACAAACACACACACACACACACACACACACACACACACACACACACACACACACACACACACACACACACACATGATTTTCATCCACAAAACGCTGTTCAAAAGTTAAGTTATTCACATTACGTCTAACCTTACCAGCCCTTTGTTGTTTTTTCAGGGAGTGTCAAGATACGTTGACCATGACTGTCCTCAGAACAATGCTGGTGAGTGTACTGCGTCTACTGTAACTAACCACACACACACATGCACACACACTACAGAAACACACGTTTACACACAAACACATTTAAGGGCACTACCGGTATATAAGGAAACATTTTTAACTAAACTATGTAATAATGATCCTTCCCATTGAAAAACATACATTAGGGCCTAATGGGCAATACAAGTATAATGAAAAAGGGCTCAAATATGCAAATTAGTCATTATCATTACGTGTATGCTAATTTGCATTCGTTTTGAGAACATTGGATTTAGCCAGGTTTATTATTCTTGAGTCGTTTTAGTCAAAGATAAATACAGAGAGAAATGCAGACATACAGTATTTGAAAAAAATACATTTCCCCCATGTTTTTAGGAATAAATGTACATATATGTACATCAATATGGATAGGAATGACACTGGAAAGTGGGATATATGTAAGTGCTATTTTTTTTTTTAAAGTCACCTATTGTGCAAAATCCACTTTTTCATGTATTGTATACTGAAAAATGTGTCCCCTATGTGTAAAGAGACTCTGAAGGTTTCAGGAAAGAAAATGTGCTCTCTTTTTTCCTGATCCATTCATATAAAAACCTGTCTGAAAAGGAGCTGATCAGATTTTGGCCACTTTGTGATGTCATAACGTTTTATTGGCTTGTGTAACCATTAGCCAATCACCAAACAAGGTAACCCCCCCCCCCCCCCCCCTTATCACCTGAATCTCCTCCTAGAGCACCATTGTGTTCTTTTTTCCCAAATATCTCTCAGAGGGGCGTGGGGAGGGGCTCCTTATTTTTCATCTAAATTAACAGACAGAGAATGTTTCCAAAGTGCTGATTCTCTGTCTGTATATATATATATATATATATATGAATAAAATGTCTATATATATATATATATATATATATAGACATTTTATTCATTGGGATAAACCCCTTGAGATGCACCATCTCGTTTTCAAGGGGGGTCCCGACAATAGCAACAACTTACAGACATACATAAACAAAAAGACAAAATGCAAAACATGACACACAACTCAGTTTCATCAATATCAGTTATAACAAGTGCAGACCAGTTGAAAGTGAGATAACAATGCATGTTTAAACATACCCAATGATGCAAGAGATCTAATAGCAGCAGGTAAAGTATTCCAGTCAGTTGGGGCTTTAAACATGAACGCTCTTCTGCCAATAAGTTTTTTTGCAGAGGGGACAGAGAAATAAATCTGAACAGAATGTCTAACTTGATGATTTGACGAGTAGGGTACAAAATACTGAATTAAATAAGGGGGATAGTTAAGATAAATGCATTTAAATATCAGCTGAAGCCAATGCGTGTGTCTTCTTACATGTAAAGAAGGTCATTTAAGTTGGTTATACATTGTGCAGTGATGTGTACGAAAAGGACAACCAAGAACAAATCTGCATAGTCTGTTGTAGGCTATGTTGAGTGGAGCAAGATCTGATTTATGTGCATTTTGGTAGACAATATCACAATAGTCCATAATCGGAAGAATAAGTTGAGAAGCAATTCTCTTTCAGACACTGAGCGTAAAACAATTGCGAGAGTGGTGTAAAACACTGATTCCGTAATTGACTTTTTGTATTACATGCTTTATATGTAGTTTAAATGAAAGTTCAGAGTCTAGCCATACACCAAGATATTTAAAGCTATCAACTTTATGCAGAGAAGTGCCATCCTTACATGTTATTACTACATTAGGTTTGGATTTGAGCTTCTGCCTGGTACCAAAGACCATGGTATAAGATTTTGTTTTGTTAAGCAGTAGTTTATTGTGTGATAGCCAGTCCTGTAAGATATTAATTTCCGATTGAAGAGAGATCTGAATTTGCGAAAAATCTGATTTGGATGTATATATGACAGTGTCATCAGCATAAAGGTGAGTACAACAATTAATGAGACAAGAAGATAAACCATTTATGTAAATAGAGAACAGAAGTGGGCCCAGAATTGATCCTTGGGGTACACCCTTTTGTTGGATCAACAGGTCAGACTGTTTTCCATTAACAACCACACATTGCTTTCTACTGTGAAGGTACGAGTTAAACCATAACACTGTATTATTAGAAAGGCCAATGCCGTGAAGTTTATCCAAGAGCAGATATCGATCAACAAAATCAAAGGCTTTTGTCAAGTCAATAAAAATGGCACTTGTGAGTTCACCATCATCTGCAGCAGAGTACAAGTCATTCGTAAATTTAAGTAGGGCAGTTGTTGTGGAGTGATTAGTAGGGTTGGGTACCGAGAACCGGTTCAGAACCGGAACCGGTTCCAACATTTCGATTCTAACGGCATCGTTTAGAAATGTGAATTTCGGTTCCACTTTTCGATGCCTGAGGAAATGTTTCTCGCCGCTCTCCGTAGCCTATTATATGACTGCGGCGCTGCTGCGACGGGGCGGGAAATGTAGCGTTGTACCTACACTTCCTACAGCGTAACCTGATACCAGGGCCGGCCCGTCGCATGTTCGCCTAGGGCGCCAGATCTGTGGAGGCGCTGCGCTGACAGCTCTGGGAGGGAAAAAAAACGTTTTGACCGTTGGTGCTCATCCTAATTTTCGGCCTTGATGTAACAATATTAATAATTAAGTAAATGTAACACCTTTTTCATCCCGGTTACACTTTTCATTTGCCCTGTACGATGGGCGCTGTAAGTGATGAAAATGGGGGATGTTGGCTTATCTGGCGCCCGCAGCTCACAGCCAAAGTGCGAGTGAGCAGGGAGAAAGGGAGGGCGCTGTTGTTATTAGCATCTGGTGCTAGCTGCTCTAACGGAAGAAGAAGATGTTTCTACAATGATGTGGAGGGAGAGTCCTCTCCAGTCAGACTGAGAGGCTGATAACTACAGCTCAGTGAGGTAAAGGACTCTGAGTGTTTAGATAGTTCACTTTAGTCTAAGTTATCTCAGTGGGTCTCAAACGTTTTGATCACAATTTATGTAAACACATATTTTCAAGGCACTCCTTTATAATGATTGGGATAAAACAGGTTTGAAATCATTCCAATGTATACTATAGGACAGTAAACCAGACATATCGTTTTAAACTGGAGAGATACAAAAATATGCATAAATAAAATAGTAAAATAAGATATGAATGAACAACAAAAATAAAATACGTTACATGTATTTGTTATTGGCTATGGTAGGTTATTGGTTATGTTCACATAGTTATTTAATTATTAAAATGTAAACCGATCTTTTCCATATGGGTGTTTAGAGTTGTACCCCCTAGATCTAGTCTCTAGTAATTCTGCTTAAAGTGCATCAGATTGAAGCATTTTACTTCAAAATATTCAAACATTTCTTCCCGGTATGCCTGAGAAGGCAGATATGCTTGTTTTTCTCAACAAGAACTGTTCTTTAAAAGTTGGACTGTTGCACTGTTGTAGCTTCAGTGGTTCTCAGGTTACAGTTACATAGTAGTGAATATAAACAGACTGATTAATGTGAATATTACTGTAAACTAACCTGTGTAAAAGTTTCTCGAATAAATGTAATTTTTTGGTGGAAGAAGCATGTATCATTTTTTTACCCTGCCCCTCAAAGAATCGGAATTGAGAACCGTTAAGAACCGGAATCGAAAAGTAGAATCGGAATCGTGGAAATTCAAACGATACCCAACCCTAGTGATTAGGCCTGAAACCAGATTGAACCGGAGATAACATATTATAAGTATTAAGATAATGTGACAGTTGATTATAAATTATTTTCTCCAAAACTTTGGAAATAGAACAGATTATAGAGATTGGTCTATAATTATTTGTATCAAGTAAATCACCACCTTTATGCAGTGGAATGATGCGTGCACATTTCCAAATAGTCGGCAACTCACAGGTGGAGAAAGACAGGTTGAACAAATCAGCAAGTGGGTACATGAGAATATGGGACGCCAATTTTATGAACCTGTTTTCTATACCATCGAGTCCTGCACTGCCATCCACTTTTAATTCTGTGATTATGGGATGCTGCAATGATCTGTTTGGTGTTTGGAGCCAAACACTTCAGAGACATGTTTTGACCTATTATATATTGATGAAAAACAGTATAATAGGGGACCTTTAAGACAACTGTGTATTTGATATGTTTTGCATACATTAATTATACAAACCTGGAGCTATGAGTTGACAACATCTTCTCATTATTCAGAATGTTGTCATAAATCATTACAAATATTCTTTGCCATACCTTCAGCTTCACTGATGGAGCAGTAGTTTCTATAAAGGCTTGACTTCAGCAGCAGTTCAAAGATGTGCGGTTTGCAAACAAAGTTTGATTACAGCTTGCTGTAAACATTCCTCCACTTCATACTTAGCATTAAGAGATCATTTCTTAATGCACTGCATATTATGTATAATATAAGTTATAAGGGACAGAATGGATCTTTCACAGCCAGTACCACCTATGGTTTTATTACAGATGTAAAATGTGTGTCTTTAAACATGCACTGTACAGGACATCATATTCAACAAAGTGTGAGCAGTTGTTGAGCATAGGATGTGGCAACAAATCATTTCCCAATGCAAACCGCTACTGTTACTTCTGGGGACAGTGCTGTTGAACTGTTTGTATGTTTTAACAGTGCAGAGTGTCCATATGTGTGATAGGAGAGGTAAATAAACCTTATTCAACTCAAATGGTCCTATTATGCTCATTTTCAGGTTTCAATTGTGTGCCACTACTTCAATGTTAAAAAGGTCTGTATTTTTAAACTCAGAACATTTCCTCTTGTAAAAACAAACACATAGAGTACAGCGGTGTGCATGTGTGTATGCCTCATGCTTACATACTGTGGATGTGCAGCCTCTCTATACACATGGGATTTTAAAGCGCTGATAGTAAACAAACCCATTAATCAGTGTGTCAATGAGGCTCGAGATCAAGCGCCACTGCTAACAAGCATCCTGTCACCAAGGTCCCACCTCTACATCAGTGTTACGGCCCCTACACACGGCGGCATGCGTTGAAGCTTCAACGCTTCTGCCCATTCACTTTGAATTGGGTGACGTCCCACTTCGCCGAACTGCATTGTGGGAGCGTTACTCGCTTCAAAAGTAGAGCAATGTTCTACTTTTGACTTCGACCGAAGCGTCAGCTAATCGAATCATATGCCAGTACAAGCTCTAGCCAATCAAACCGCTGCTTGTGTGTCCGGGGCGGGAGATTCATGTGATTTGTTTTTGGTCGAGCGTCAGACATGCCCGCCGGCAAGCTTCAGCGCACGCCGACATGTGTAGGGGGCCGTTAAAGTGACGACACGTCACACACTGTGACACTGATACACACACACTGTATCATGACCACTCAATCTGTGTGTGTGTGTGTGTGTGTGTGTGTGTGTGTGTGTGTGTGTGTGTGTGTGTGTGTGTGTGTGTGTGTGTGTGTGTGTGTGTGTGTGTGTGTGTGTGTGTGTGTGTGTGTGTGGTGGAGGATCTCACTGAGTGAAGCAGACGTGTGTTTTTGCACTAAGGTGAAGTAGATGGGTAAAGGATTGGCTGCTTGTCAGTGATTCTCATCAGCCGCTCTGCTGATGAAGCATCTTTACCATCTGATTCATCGCTCACGGCTCCTCCAAGAAATCTGTGTAGAGGAATTATTGTCATTTCCTAGAAAATAATCATCTCTGCCATGCTGGTTGGTATATGGTATCAACATATCAGGACAATCCTGAACCATGGCAGGCCAAAGCAATTATATTTTCATTGTGAAGCAGACAGTATTATAGAGCAGGAGGACTGTTTGACAGTTTCCTCTGGGGCTTTTCATCCACCATCTACCACTGACTGCTTCTATATTTGACAACATCACAAGGGCTAGACAAAAAGCAATAGGATTTTTCCATTGGATTTGGGAATATGGCAGAAAATGTATCAATGGCTAACACACCTGTATGATACTTGCATGTTTTGTTCAGTAAGATAATCTCCACATATTTACACGTTTATGATTTTGAACACCTTATATGGTAAACCATGTTTCGTGTGGGTGCACTACAATTTCAGCATTGGCTTAAATAACAGCTGATATGTGATTGGCCGCTGGCGTGAGCTCAGTGTGATGTGGTTGATCCAACATTACAAAGTGATGCAGTTCCTTATTTTCAGATAATATACAAGTTTTGTGTTGTAAATTCACCCTAAGTACGAGTTCTGTCTCTATTAACCCCCTCACATGTCTTCTTTATTAATTTATTATATATCTACAACGGCTTAAACTGTCGTCCTATTGTCAGTAACAACAAAGTTGCCAGAATGATTTTGACTGCAAGTGGTCTGTAACCAAAAAGAAACAGGGTATATAATCAACCTTTTGAACAATAAAATGTGTTGGGTTGAACTTCATGCATGCTAAAGCAACAGCCTGTGTATTCTTTATATTTCCCTCACTATGAGCCACTTTACTTTGCTCCACTGAAAAGTTATCCTTACCGCATTCAGTCCTCATTAAATAATTACAAACAATCCTATTCCGACCTGATTTAATAATAATACTAATAATAATAATACATTTGATTTATAAGCGCACTTTTCATTTGCGTAAACAAAACTCAAAGTGCTAGAAAATTAAAGGGTGAAACAAAACAACAAAAACAACAAAAACAACAGAATAAAAGCAGTGACATTTATGCCGGCATGGCATAAATGTGGGGGTTTTAGAAATCTAGTTAAAGGCTATTCTAAAAAGATGCGTTTTTAGGCCTTTTTTGAAAGCCTCCACAGTCTGTGGTGTCCTCAGCTGGTTTGGGAGGGCATTCCACAGTCTCGGAGCAGCGGAGCAGAAGGCTCGCTCTCCCATGGTCTTCAGTTTTGTCCTTGGTGGAAGGAGGAGGTTTGCCTTTTCTGAACGTAGGTTCCTCGTGGAGGTTTGTGGGGTGAGCAATTCCTTGATGTAGGAGGGAGCATTTCCATGTATGCACTGATGAGTGAAGAGGGTGATTTTGTAGTCAATCCTGAGTGAGACCGGGAGCCAGTGCAGTGATTTGAGGATGGGTGTGATGTGTTCGTACTTCCGTACTCTCATCAGGATCCTAGCAGCGCTGTTCTGGATGTATTGCAGCTTCTGGATGTTCTTGCTAGGAATCCCAATGAGAAGTGTGTTACAGTAGTCCAGCCTGGAGGAGACAAAGGTGTGGACAAGTTTTTCAGCATCTGGCAGACTGAGTGTGGGGCAGAGTTTCGCAATATTTCTGAGGTGGTAGAAGGAGATCTTGCATATTTGCTTGATGTGGGCCTCAATGTTCAGGTGAGGATCCATGTTAACTCCCATATTGGTAACAGTTGATGAGAGTGGAATGTTCTGACCGGAGAAGGTGATGCTGGTGATGGCGGATGAACGGACCTGATGTGGAGTGCCAACTAGAATGGCTTCAGTCTTGGAGCTGTTTATCTCCTCCAGGCATGTGGTTATTGTGGATGATGGCAGAGGTGGTTGGGTTTGCTCTGATGTAGAGCTGTGTGTCATCAGCATAGCAATGGAACGATATTCCATGCCAGCTGATGACACGACCAAGTATGTACTGTATGTATGTATGTATGTATGTATGTATGTATGTATGTATGTATGTATGTATACACATGTATATGGTGAAAAGGGTGGGGCCCGAGGACTGATCCTTGGGGGACACCGCAGGCCAGAGTTTGTTTTTGATTTTGCCGCTCCCAAGATGACGTGCTCAGTCCTCCCGGTGAGATAAGAGGTGAACCAGTTTAGGACAGAGTCAGAGAGTCAAATTGTAGAGTGAAGACGATGGAGTAGGATGTCATGGTCGACGGTATCAAATGCTGCAGTTAGATCTAGTAGGATAAGGAGAGATGGAGATCCGGTGTCAGCTGCCATCAGCAGGTCGTTGGTCACCCTGACTAAGGCAGTTTCTGTACTGTGGCCCTGGCGGAAACCAGACTGGAATTTTTCAAAGAGTTTATTCAGTTTTAGATGTTCCTGGATCTGAAAGGCAATTACTTTCTCCAGTACTTATTGATGTGCTTCCACCCCAGGGCCCCAAGTCATCGTTCATCACACCAGAGAAGAGGGCCAAGCTCCGGTCCAACCCTGTGAAGGTCCACTTTGCTGAGGAAGTGGAGGTCAACGGGCACTCTCAGGTGAGAACATAGGAAGCAATTATTCTGAACCCTGACAGTGTCGTCTTATAATTTCTCTGTTGGTTTTCCTAGAGACAGATCATGTTTTTACATTTAGTAACAATGTGAAACCATACAGTGTATTTTATGTTACTTGGGACAGTAATGAATTCATTCAAAGTTGTGTACAAAAGTATTAGCATATAAAATCCAAACACACTTTACAGCAACACTTTTGTGGTGCCCCACCAGGTCCATCATTAAAGTAAATGCACATGTGCATCTGGATATATTACCCCATAATGCCACTTAATGATGGACCTTTACTTTTAAACCTTTGAAAAGAGTCACGTGTACCTTTTTGCAGTGTTGCATGCCTTATGATGCAGCGCTCACATTCAAAATGGCTGGCATCTCCCTTAAGAATAAGGTGAGAAGTTCAGTCATCCGGGAGGGACTCAGAGTTGAACCGCTTCCCCATAGCGTAGGAAGGAGCCAATTGGGGAGGTTCAGGCAGTCAGGATTCCACCTGGCCGCTCCCTTAGGGAGGGCTTTAAGGACCATTCAGCTGGGAGGAGACCCAGGGGCTGAATAAGCACTAAAACAGGGTTGGATGGAATTGACATATAATCATAGTCATTTAAAAATGTTATTTTGCAAGATGAGTTCAGCCAAATGACTGTTCTATTTGAGTTTTCAGAAACCTTATTTCATTTAAATTTCACAATTGAGTTTTCTTTACAACTCATTTTCTTTCTCTTATCTTGTGATATATCCCGGGACCCCAAGGGAAGCCTGAAATCCAAGCTTGCAATCATGGATTTACAAAGAAGGAAACTCTCTACATATTTGTTAGACCAAACCAAACAAAATAAACATAATTTATATTTGTTTGAAATAAAACTCCTTAGGGCAACTACATCCTGAAAAAGGAAAATGTTTGATTCAACAGACTTTAAAATGCAATTTTAGAAAGTAATGCCAGTTGTACGTTTCTAAAATGACGAGGAATGATTTTTTTAAATATTGTATTATTATCCCATATTTGACAGTATGACGTTTTTCTCTCATAAGCCTCTAGTGGGTGAGAGTTCCCGTCCTGCCAGCGGATGTGAAATTAGCTGTACGAGGAAAACCACAGAGGCTGGAGTGCCCATTACTAATCACAGAGAAAACACGGATCGATATCTTCCTCATCCTCCTAATGTCTGTGATTACACGACAATAAGCACCAGATTAGGGAAAGAGCAAGACAGAGAAGATCATTAACAGAGGGAACTGGAGAAATGGAATATGGGAGGGGCTGTCTAACATTTGAAAGCTCTCCATTTGAACTGCAAGACATTCAGACATTAATGTTGCATTACATCACCGTTTCTGTGCAGAAAACACTTTCTAAAATGATAAGACACGGGGATGATGACTCACCACAGGGCGGACAGAAGCAGGCCAGCTGATGAGAGGAAGCACTCTGTGAGAGGAGCTCAGAATGACACCAGACTAATCTCTCTCCTTCAGCTCTTTCATTTTGATCATTTAAAATAAAAAACGTTTGAGCCGTTAAAGCAAAAGTGCTCTTTCAAATGTCTTAAATTAATTTCGAATAAACTGGATACACAAGGCATTATGTGCAATTATATCCATCTGTCTTCATCTGCATTTTTGATTGAGATGCTTTTATGCTTGGCTGAGGTGGGAAGGCTGGTGTATGAATTCAAGCAAAATGTGACAATGTGCATTGGAAATAGGCTAAGCAAATAAACCATGACGTACAGACAGCATGTGACTCAAACACCCCCAGCATCTTCACTGAAGTGACTAAAAATAGCGGCCCACAAAATCTGCATACACAGATGCAGTCCTCATAAGATCTCTTTTCCAACTGCACTAAGCCTTCTGTTAAGCAGATAGGCATGTTGTATTTTATAGATGACTTTATTAATAATAGAATGGTAAATATTTAGCCTTTTTTGAATGGTACATTAAGTCGGGCTTAAAGGCAATATTGGACGGTTAAAAAGAACGCATATCCTTTTAAAATGTGATTGTATTCTGCATTAATATCTTATTAATAATAATACACAGCTTTTTATATTGTATTACACATTTTATATATTGTAGTACACTGTGCACATTTTTATATACATATCTTAATTATATATATTTGTATTCCTTTATATGAAATGTTTCTGTAATTTTTTCTGTTTATATGAATATGATTATTTGTAAGTTTATATACTTTTATTGCACAGTCTTATTTTTTATTTATTTCTCTCTTTATTTTAATTTTTAATTTGATTACAAAATGGAGCAGCCGTCACGAAACCCAATACCCCCCTGGGATAAATAAAGTGTCCTGATTGATTCTGATTCTGATACAGATTGATGGGGGGGGGTGACATTCAGCTAACAGCCGTAGGTTGAGTTGTGTATATATTATTTTAGTCCAACCATAATGTTGATTAAGTTCTTCAATTGTTTTAGTACAGAATCAAATTCAAGATTGTACTCATTATTTTTCAAAGCACTTCCTGGCCCGAAATTCAGACTGTATCTCTGGAAGCTGTTAAGAGCATTTTTTTGTTACTCAAAATTTGACCTGCAGGATCAGTATTTTATGTATGCATAGTAGGGATGGGAATTTGAAAGCAAAAATGTAATAAAAATAAATAAATACATGTTCAATTAAGTGCGGAGAAAAACACACCTTTAGACCTAACACACTTAGCTATGGCACTGTCGTATACATTGAATTATTCCATTTGATCATATGTAATCAACTTAGGCACCCCTCCCAAAAAAATAAAAGTAATATTCAAAACTCATATTCTCATATTCGAACACCTGAATAATTTTGAATATTCGATTAATCGTTCCCATCCCTAATGCATAGTATCTAAAGGCCTTTGTAACCTTATTCTATTTAAGTAACTGCGTCTGGTTTGAATGCAGGTTTTGTCATGTAACATGTATATCTATATTTCACTTCTTCCTTTGTAGTCTGTGATCCTTATACAGTAGGTGCTACATTCATCATTCTTAAATATTATATACAATACAAAGACAGCGGGGTCAAAAAAGCCGCCCCATAAATCTAGGTCTCAAACAGAGAGGCATAAACTGATATCCTTTTCTCGACTCTATCTCATATCCATTTGATCCTCTTGAACCAGGAAGTTTTATGATGCTCACATTTTCATCTGCCCTGTCCCTGAACCCACCCTGACCCCTTGTCTTCTTCACAGGGCAACTCGCTGCTCTTCCTGCCCAACGTTCTGAAGGTGTATCTGGAGAACGGGCAGACCAAGGCCTTTAAATTCGACCCCAGCACCACAGTCAAGGTACCACACCATGATACAGCCCATCATGTCATTTATTATTCACACTGGATACCTAACAGCTGTAGGGTTAGGGTTCAGAGATGAAGCTGAGGTTCACAATGCGCTTATGTAATGGAATAATATTCTCAAGTCAGAAACTGAAGCCAGTTCTCTTGCTGTGATGTAGTGTCAGGGCTGCATTTAGATTTATTTTCTTCTTCTGGCACGAGGAAGCTAGTTGTTCCAAAGTGCAGGACTAAACCCTTTGGTGAGTCAGCGTTTAGCTCTAATGCTGCAACAAGCTTCCTGAGGATCTGAGGAAGCTTTGAATGTAAACGTAATACTTGCCTGTTAAGAATTGTGGAATGTAACTTAGTACATTTACTTTAATACTATATTTAAGGAAACAGTTGATGTACTTCTACTTGACTCAAGCACATTGACTTTATGCTGCCTTGTACTTTAGCACGACTAAAGCTACATTTTGGAGGAACTTTTTGGACATCTTATTATAGCTTTACTTACAGATGTAGATGATTAATACTTAATATAAATCAACTAATTCATATATACAACTTTTTCTGAAATGGGACCTATTGCATAATGAGTACTTTTAATTTTGGTACTTTGATGCTAATACTTTTATACTTTGAATTGAGTAATATTTTGAATGCACGACTGGTAACAGAGTATTTTTACACTGTAGTATTGCTACATTTACTTAAGTGAATATCTGAGTACTTCTTAATTATTTGGGCTGCTGTGTTTGGAAAAATGACTAAATGCAAATATTGTGACTAATATTGCAATTGCGAAATTATTCAGATTGTTCTAATTATCATGAAAACATGATGTGTTTCTGTACCGAATAAAGATGTTTTATTAAGTCAGTAATATAGTATGTGTATGTGGGAACATCTTTGCAGCAGCATAATCCTTAATTCAATATCATATTTACACGTGTTTTTCCTGTAACAAATATTGTAGAAGAAATTCCATTTTAAAACAAAAAGTGACTTTATTAATGTAATGTAGTTTGTATCTTGTGCTGTTTTACAACTGCAAATGTTATTCAACCTTTTTATATAAATGTTCTCATAATTGTTAGTGTCTGCTGTGTTGAGTTTGTCAAATTGTTGTTTTGATAAATGTTTGTGGATTTCAGTTTCACAGTGTTCTTGTTGTTTTGTTGCTTGTCAGTCTTCTGTAAAGCACTTTTAACTGAACTAACCTGAATGAAAGATGCTATACAAACAATGTATTTATTTATTATAATTCTAAATGCATAACTGAATAAGTATTGGATGTAGTTTATAATTAATGTTAAAGCACAAAAGAATGAAATTATTCACTATTGTTAGGGAAATAATTGTCATAGACGCCAAGATGTGACGTACAGGACCAACCCTGACGTCTGTTTACCTCCTTTAAGGACACAGGCTGCTTAGCCAATAATGTTATTGTTCCCATTCTGTGACCGGTCAATACTGGGTCACAGATGGTCTGTGTTGTGGGTACACTGGGACACTTCCTTCTCTGTATTTGTGGACTCCAAGGTGAAATCTTCGAGGTCATAAGTGTCCGAGGCAAGTAGCTCAGTGTTCCCAGACTGTTTAGGCTATCTCCTCAAATATGTTGTTTACTCTCTGCGAAACCAGTTAGATGGGCTGGCAAGAGAGAGGCTCTCCAGAATTGACGTGGCAACTCTACCGTGAAGTCAGAACCTCTGACTCTTGGACTTGTGATGTGAATCCTCCAGCCGTAACTCCAAATAAACCATCATGTGTTTGACATCAAAGCTACTGCTCTTCCCGTGTCTCCTTCCTGAGTCGGTGACTCCCACTGCATAGCTACACAGAAGTTTCCTCTACAACTATCAGATTTTCATCTGCATTAGATATAATGTACTTTCCTTTGATTTGCCTACTACTCAGATTTCCACTCGCTTCATTGAGAATGCAAACCTCCGCTCAGCTCAGCAATTACGTTTTCTTAACTCACAAAGTATTGTCTCTCAAGTCTCAATGTTCTCTGTGCGGCAGGACATTGTGATGACACTGAAGGAAAAGCTTTCTCTAAGCCGCATTGAACACTTCTCCCTGGTGCTGGAGCAGCAGCACAGCATCACTAAACTACTGCTGCTGCATGATGAGGAAAGGATACAGCAGGTATAAACACACACACACACACATACACCAATAACCACTGTTTTACAAGTCGCCGTATATGTACATCTAAATGTAATCAGCTGTTGGGCCTACTGGGGACGTGCACAGGCCCAGGGGCCCAAACATGGGAGGCCCTAGGGAATGTGTTGTAGCTAACCATATGATAGCTATATCATTCCCAGGATATTTCTGTGATTCATTCATAATACTTACATTTATTTACACCATTTTCTATCCAATATTTTTGATATAATCGTCATCAGTTTCACAGCACAAACACCCACTCTCAAGCTTTTGGGCTTACAATATCCATATGCTTAAGTATTCAGATCTCCAAAATGATTAAACCCCTCGAAAGCATAAAGAACATTTAACAGTATAGACTTCTTTTTTTGTACAGATTAATATTGTTATTACTGGCTGCTACTTTCCTACCCAAGACTGTATCAGCATTGTTGTGAATAACACTGTAAACTATCTACTTTTACAATTGAATAATGTAAATACTGGCTGCTAGTTCTCAACTTGTTCACTAAATGTATAATGCTGTTACTTATATATATACCTTGGATGTGTACTTGCTTGATGTATATTTTAGTAACATGTGCTTCTTTATTTGTTACGTTAGTTTACTATTTGCCTTTCATTTGCACTACCCTCTATGCTGTAATCACTAAAACGCCCTGCTGTGGGAGAAATAAAGGATTCAGATGTTTGATATGTGGGGCAGAATACTGTTGATTTATAGTCTACTGAATGTGTGACTGCTGAATGTGTGAGCATGTGTGTTTCAGGGATGTTGTTGTAAAAAGAAAAATTGAGGCGAGAGGCACATTTATGGGAATACCTACATTTTAGAGCATTGAAAAGTTGAGTAACCCCATAGCACCTTCAAAAGAAAGTATCTGGATCCAAAGTGACAGTGGCTTCCCTGGCCTTCATCTACAACATTTCACTCAGAGACACAGCTAAGACTACAAACAACAGCAAAAAGATACAAAGAAATTCACCCACTGTGGAAATGTGCAATAATACCACAAATAAACACACATCTACAAAAAGGGACAAAACAACTACAGACAAAAAGACTACAAAAGACCAAAACAGTTATAAAGACAAACAAAGAGCACAAATAGACCTATTGTCTCATGAGTCATTTGTAATTCGGTTTAATATATATACTTAAGCTTTCACCTGCATTTAGAGAAATACATTTGAAGCATTCTGTGTATGTGTGTGTGTTCATGTTCAGGTGGTCCAGAAGAAGGAGGCCCATGACTACAGATGTCTGTTCCGTGTTTGTTTCTTGCCGAAAAGCCTCCACGCGCTGCTGCAGGAAGATGCCGCTGCCTTTGAGTACCTCTACCTGCAGGTACCTCAACATCTGACCTACTTAAAAACCCCAGGCTGCAGCAGTTTACTCCTTACATCATACATCTGTGAAGAATGTGTAGATACTTCATTATACCCTCGTTCACTAGCAAAGGCCACGCCTCAACAATATGTTGGTTAAAGATGTATTTACGGGACAGTTTGAATTCAAGGTGAAGAAGGGTGAAGGAGGGTGAGGAGGGTGAAGGAGGGTGAGGGAGGGTGAGGGATGTCGTCTGGCAGGCTGGTCTGGAGGATGACATGCACTCCAGATGGAGGGAGACTCAGGGTGTGGGTTCAGTCTCAGGACTGGAGGGTTTCTGTCAGATCTGAATACAAACGCAGGGTTATGGGTAAACATGTTGAAGAGTGGGTCGTACAGTCCGAGACACACAAGGCCAGATGTGTTGACAGGATATGAGTAGCTCAGCAGGTGTTTAGGGTGTAGTTGAAGCGTGGCCCTGCTCCCGGACCTAAGTTGACTCATGAAATGAAAACTGAGTCCCCCACCTAACTTACCCCACGGTTCGGCTGTAACGTTGTAACACCTCCGAACAGTCTGGTTTCTGCTGGAGCTGACACATCTCACCATAATGTAAATCAGCAGACTGAAAGGTCATATTTAAAATGTGCAGTTTTTTGTATCCAGACTCACGACCTTTATTCCTGCTTTGTTCGCACAGTAAGGTCTTTTTATACTAAGTTACATCCCCTCAGTGATGGATATTTTTGCTGCCAGTAACACAAACCAGTGAGATTTTTTCTTAAATTAGACGTCTGTTGTTCTCATCTTTTGTACCGCTGTGAACTGTTGTGAACTGTGTTGTGTGTCAGGGTGTGAACGATGTGCTGCAGGAGCGCTTTGCAATAGAGATGCGGTGTAACACGGCCCTGCGACTCGCCGCTCTGCACATCCAGGAGAGGCTGGCGAGCTGTGGACACTCACAGAAGACCAACTTGAAGATGATCACGTGAGACAAACACACATTTTAACTATACTTATGTCGACTATAAAACTATAATAAAACAGGATTGTACTGCTTGTAGGGAGTGTAGAGCAAAGTGTGGTTCCATGCCTTTTAGAGGGACAATAATACATATTTATTGGAGATGTTTTATTGAGCAGCGCCCCGTCTAACAGTCAAACAAGAACACAAGTTGTATAGTACAACTGCAGTCTTGTCGCACACTTTGAGCTTCAGAAATACATTTCAAGATTTCAAATGTATCCAAGGGTTTCCATTCACACATCCTAGCTCTCTCACAGTCTTGAACACGACAACAGACCTCATTGTGTTTGTCTGTGTTTGCTCTAGGAAGACGTGGGGCATAGAGAACTTTGTGTCATCCACCCTGTTGAGAAACATGCGAGAGAAAGACCTGAAGAAAGCCATCACTTACCATATGAAGAAGAGCCAGTCACAGAATGACCCCAAGCAGAAGGGCCTGTCAGTAGATCAGACTCGCATCAACTACCTGGAGGAGCTGTGTGAGCTTAAGTCATTCGGAGGGAAATCCTTCAGTGCCACCATGATGGTAGGTTTCAACATTTGACTAATGGTGTCAATTCATAAACAAATGCAAGTCATTTTGGAAGGAGATCAAACAAACTTGTGGTGTTGGAAATCCATGACAAACAGCAAAGAGAAATCAGTGGGTTTTATACTTTACTAAAGTCTGACAATGTTCTGATAGTTAGCTAAAGCATCGACAAAGCAGCTGACTCAGAGAGGCGCTGTGATTGCCTTCCGTATAATGTGAGCTGCACAGGGTGTATTATCTCTGCTGCCATCATAATGCGAGCACTATCATTCATTTATTAGATGCCTTTACTTACTGATGTCCAGTGTCTCCAGTCAGCACAATACATGAAGTTTGTCATTTCTCACTGCCTTGCAAGTCTTGGTAAACATCCACGCTGCAATTACATGAGGGCATTGGGGTCAAACTTAGTAATGTGATTATATATGTCATTATTTTTCTCATGCGTTAAGATTAGCAAATTAATCGCAACTGTTAACGTCTTAACACTGAGAGCCCTATTTTTTTTGGTTGAAATGTGTTTTTTTAAACCAATCTCATCTACAATTGTCCTCCTTCTTTCTGTTCAACCACCCTTCCCCTGCTCCCCCCACACTCCAGCTTCAGGACAGGGAGTCAATGGTGACCTTGTTGGTGGGGGCGCGCTACGGGGTGAGTCAGGTGGTCAACCACAAACTGAGCATTCTGTCCACCCTCACAGAGTTCACCTGCATCACACGCATCGAGCTGCTGCCTGAATCCGACAAGGTCAGCCTGGTCAAAATATACCTGCAGGACATCAAGGTAAGAGCACATTACATTTCCTCTCCTGTGTTTATGATTTCAATCATGATAAGTTCTTTCTTTTTCATCTGTGAATACAGCTCAATATTTTCTTAGGTGGGTGAGTCTTGTCATGTCAGGATCATATTATGTTGTTGTAATACTCGTTTTGGACACAAGGGCTGAAGTGCCTGTCTTGTTTTAATTAAGATTAAAAGCATTTCTATTTTCTTCCAGGTGAGTTGAAATACCTCCACGCTCTCTAATATCCTAGCAAAATCTTTTTTTCACAGGTTCCTTAGTCGTAACCAGAATCAGACTTAGAAAATAGATTACCAGATGTTTTTATTGTCACTTGCATATTGGGGTTTCCATGTAACGTACTGTAAACCTTGTCAAAAAGCACTTAGCTTGAAAGAATCTGAATCAGCTTAACAAACACTGCAGCAAAGTTGGGTTATCTTAGGTTGCATAACAATTAGCATTATTTGTTCAGCCTATGTTTAAGCAGTTTGATGCACCTGCAGTTTGATCTCTAGAATTAAACTGCCTCTTTAATGGCTTATAGAAACAGTGAATTAGCTTTCAACTGTTCTTGTGTTTATGACTGTGATGTGTTACTTACAAATATGACCTGTTCACATTATTTTCCATACTACCTCATGTCAATTATTTGCAGACTTCAGCATGAGAAGGAGTGCCTTTTCATCAATATTTGGCCCCTTTTGGATACAAATAGAACGCCAAGTGTTTTTCCACTGCTGAAATTGTCTTCCCTTCCCCCTCTTCCCATCTCATATAATCTCTTCTGCTTTCTCATTCAAAGCCCATCACATTGCTATTGGAGTCAGCGGCCGCCAAAGATATGTCCTGCCTAATAGCAGGGTACTGTCGAGTGTTTGTTGACCCCAACCTGAACATCTTCCCCTGGATACATGTGTCCAAGAAGCACAGAGTGTCTGCTGAGGAAGGTACACATTTACAGTAATGGTCAGCCATAAAATGAATGAATCAGTATGTTTTAAAAAAATTAACTAGCAGGGCTCTCAAAGAACAAAGGTCTCTGCCAAGGCCGTTTCTATAAGTGAAAAACAGTGAGTTGCTATCCGCCCATTGATTCGGATTCCTTCCAAATTTGTATGAGTTCTTTGTTGGCCCATGCTTCACCCTTCCACCAAGTTTCATTACATCTGGGGTGTAGTTTTTTCTGTAATCGTGCTCACAAACAGACAAACCAACCAGAACATAATAATAACCGTTGCATGTTTTAATGTCGGTGTATGTACACAGGTTACGTGTCACGGTGTGGCAGTGACTCGGACACCTCCTCAGACTTGGGCATGGACACACTGATCACCAAGGCGTCACATGACGACAGGCCGCGCCCTCGCATCAGATCCTCATCAGACCCAGATGGGAGAAAAAGAAAAGACAGAAACAGAAGGAGAAACAAAGACAGCAAAGAAAAGGGGGATAAAGCATGGGAGGAGAAGAAAAAGCAAAAGGAAGAAAAGGATGCTGACACGGAAAAGGAAAAGTCTCCCTTGAGTAAAAACAGAGAGAGTAAGAATGAAGAGACACAGAACAAAGAGGAGACGGAAAAGCTGCAGGAGGGTCAGCAAACAAAGATCGAGATAAGGGAACATTATTCTGGGGAACTACAGGGGAACGTGGGACAAGAAAGTCGATGTGACGAAGACGTTCATGCAGTAGAGGAGCATCCTTCGGTATCAGAAGCATCTGATTCTCTGAACACAGACTCTCGTGTCATCACCAGCCCCTCCAGCGACTCCCTCGACGCTTTGGAGGAAGACGACCTAGTTTCATGTTCTTCCTCGTTCACGGTCCTCCCCAACGCTCCCTCACAAACACTCAATAGCCACCCTCCCCTTCAGCTCCACCATTACTCCCACAATCAGGTTCATCCTCATCTCCTCGCCCCTCCACCAGCTCACGCCCATCCCCTCATCCACCTCACAGCTGACGACAGACGACAAGGAGGAGGCCTCAGGAGGTCCGACAACGGAGCCGATCCCCAACTCCTCTCCTCCGTCCCCCCCTCTCCGAGCCTTCACTGCATCCAAAAATGTCCCAGCAACCCCTGCTCCGACGACAGCTCCCTGTGTTTCGCCGAGCTCTCCCGCCTGGTGGACTTCCTGCCGAGCCCCCCAGAGGCCAGCGACGACGATGAAGAAGCGGAAGAGGAGTTAAGGAGGAGGAAGAGGAGGAAGGGGAAGATGTTGAAAGAAACAGGAGAGTGTGTGAGATGTGAAAGTGGAAGTATAAGCGTGGAGGGCAGTCTCAGAGAACACCCACTAACCCCCTCCCCATCCTCCTCCAACCTGGAGTTTGTCTTCAACTTCGACCAAAGTGACGCTCGCTGCTACTACAAACTCTGCTCCAACATCACCCCCGACAGCGCCCGCAGCCTTCCCTGCCCCCCGGATCGTAACGAGGGAGGAGATTGGGTGAAGGTGAAGGCAGATCCGGCTGAGGCGGTTTACCTGGAGCCCATCCCCATTCTTCAGCCACCACCGGGGTTTGGAGACAGCAGCTCTGACGAGGAGTTCTTCGACGCCAGAGATCGCTTCACCTCGCCTGTGGACCCAGCCTTAGACGCCATGCCAAGAGGTGATTTACTTTTTATTATAGGGCTTCCAAGGCTCTGTAGAGTGCTGGAAACACAGGCTGTGAATGCTGCCTTTACTGCCATCTGGTGGTTGAAGTACTACTGAAGTTTTACTGCACTATATATATTATAGACTAGAGTAATTTAAGTGAATTCCCTGGAAAGCAGGCACACCTACTCTACCAATGACTTGGAAATGGTCTACTGTCTATAGTGTAAAGACAGTGGTTGGAAGTGACATTTACTCAAGAACATGAAGTATTAAAAGTAGATTGTTTGGTACTTTGACTTGACTATTTACATTATCTGCTACTTTCTACTTTTACTCCAATACATTTTAGAGAGAAATACTTATTACTCAACTGCAATTATCTGACATCTTTAATATCATGTTATTTTATAGGTAAATATTTCACAAACAATATTTAAAAAATGTTTTATCTGATTATTTAATTTAGATTAAACTATCCAACTGTACAAAAGGCTACACCTCACATGAAAATGCTGCATATTAGATATACCCTCATTAATTATATTTTAATAATATCATATATAATAATATAAACACTTGCTGTATATATATATTATAGTGCAAAATACTTTTGTAATTGAAGTAAGAATTTGAATGCTTTCGTATTACTAGAGCAGAGTATTTTTCCCCTTTGGTATTGCTACACTGTAAAATGTTTGGCTGTAACATTACAGTAAATTACTGGCTACTAGTTGCATGGATTTCACAGTAATTGACTGTAAATATTTCACAGTAATTGACTGTAAATATTTCACAGTAATTTACTGTATATATTTTACAGTTAATTAGAAAGTACAACTAAATACTGTGACTTTACAGTTGCCATGCCCATGGAATTACTGTGATATAGCAGTACAGAGCTGTGGTATTATGGTACCTTGCTGTACATAAATTACAGTAAATACCTGTATGTTCACACTATTACTGTAGAAGTAATGCAACACAGTAGCCAGTAATTTACTGTAAATATACAAATCTAAATAATACGATAATATATTGTAAATTTGACTGGGATTGTACCATAACTACACAATTCAATCAGTTCAATCAACAAAGAAAAACAAAGAAAATGCCCATTTTAACTTTGTATTACTCTATTGAAGTGCAAAGTACATTTCACAGTGTCTTGGAAATGTTGTTACGGCCCCAACCTCTACTCCGCGGTAGTGGCTTGTGCTGAGACCCGCAACATGAAAGAATAGACGCAATAACCGGTACTTGGTAACGAGCATTTATTGATAATCAGCCGTTTGCTCACACAAGCTAAACAAAAAGAGGTCTGGAGGACTGGCCAAAAGGAACAAACAGAAGGAGGGAACCCGAGCCAGCCACACACCGGGCCGTAGGACCCAGAACTCCCCCGCCTAACCAAAAATCAAATATAAACCCTATGGGAAACAAAATAAAGCCGCGAAAACTGGACTACCAGGTCCTCCAGGATAAACATAAACACATCTGCAAAAATATGGCCTACAGCTCAGAATGGCAAAGAGGTATTCTAAGGACAGTGTCTCCGGCGTTAGGATAGGCGAGACATCCTTCTCCTCCAGCTTCTCTTTATATATACACACGGCTGAGTGGAATTTGGAACACCTGGGCAGAGGCGGAGCCAGGGGCAGACCAGGTGCACCTGGGCAGAGGCGGAGCCAGGGAGACAGAAAACAAGGAGGGGAGCACTTAACACATGTCTACACAGACATCCACTCAAAGTCAACAATTTTTCTGAAGAATGTGCTGACATGGGGGTTTAAATTGCCATGCCTCTTTTTGGCTTTCGAGTCCGTCTCAAGATTAATGCCCAGGATGCACCTGAAAACACTAAGCCAAGACAACAATTTAAATGTTACATAGATTTATATGTTGCATCGTTTATTTGAAGGCAGATGCAGTGGTGCCCCTTTCAATTTAAGTAAAACCTGCACCAAAGAAAGAAATTAGTATTTAAAGCCAAGCAAGAGTGATAAAAGCAAGAAAATCACTTAATTTGTTGTGTTATCACAGAGGATGGTCTGAATACAGTATTTTACTATGAAATAATACAGCAGTGGCGAGCCGTGACTTTTCTACCTAGGCCCTCTGACCCCACCCCGCTCTTCCCTCGAAAAAAAAAAAAGTTATTACGTCACAGCCTATAGTATACTTCAGCGGAATATCAAAACAGCGGCCCGGGGTGAAAAACGCATCAATGACAGCGACCCTCTACCACACAAAACAACACCATTTATATAAACACCTATCATGACAGGGCACCCACAGCCAAGTAACAATTACAAATGAATTAAGTCGGCACGGCGGCCCACATTGAAAATCACTTTGGCTTACCTTTAATGATCAAATCATCTAAACACAAAGTCCATCCTCCTGTCTTTTTGGATGAAGAACTTGATGGCGTCGTCATGCAGCTGATCTTTTGCTTTTAAAGCAATCAGCATTTCCTTCTCGATCGAAATTAAGGCCAAGTCTGACAGTCGGACTTGCCCAGTCGTGGACCTCGAGTAGCTTTTTATGCGCTTCAGAGCAGAGAAGGACCTCTCCACAGAGGCAGTGGACACAGGTATTGTCAGGATGATGCATGAGAGGGTGTACACCTGTTTCATGCTTTCACTCAGTCCTTTTTTGAGGAGAAACTGATGAATGTCGGCTGGGCTTTTCCCCAAAATGTCAGACATGCCGTACATCACGGCGAGTTCTGTGTGCAGTCGAGGCTGGTCGAAATATCCGCCATAGCTCTCCATCAAACTGTTCAAGGCAGCAGTTGGGAAATAGTTACAGTAATGCCCGAACTGTTGCGGGTCCAGAAGGGCCAGGAATTCCAGCTTTTTGTGGTCACTGAAGCGGTTGGAAATCTGGGTTAGCAGGCTGTCAATTACGCTGCAGTGGAGCTCCCTGTACCGTGCACGAACGTCTCCTTGAGCTCCACGGCCGCGGAGGACCAACCAAAGCCTGGGTTTCATCGTAGACACTGTCAAAGTTCCCCTTCTCCTGTTCAATTTGTCGCTGTAGCTGATCCACTCTGGCCAGGCAGAACTGCATATCAAAACCTTTGTTCTGAAGTATTTCAAAAACAACATCCGAGTAGGAGAAGATAGCGTGGAAGGTTTTCAACCAAAAGCTGAAATCGAAGCTGGTAAGGAGGGTGATGTATCCATCAGAGCAATGAACAGTTTCGTCATCAAACTCTGTGTGATGATCTACGATGTGCTCGAACACCTATGAGAGTAATGCTTAGTTTAGAAAAAACAACTTATAGACCTCCAGTAAACACTAAGATTAGCTTTTCATTTAATGTAATACTAGCATAGTTCTTTACCTTCATGTTTTTATGAGTGGGTAGTTTCCAACACTAAATAATTTATTTATTATTGTTAATATTTCCATTACGTTCATTGTTATTATTATCTTACCTCTCTCAATTCCCTGGTCTTCTCGGCCACTGTGCACACCAAGCGAGAATGAAAGCACCAGCGAGTAGGAGCTGCCCGTGGAAGCCTATGCTGGCAAATATCATCCAGTAGCTTGGTGCGCTTTGCTGAGCGGCTGAAAAAGGTGGCCAAGCCAGAGAGGTGGGAGAAGAAGACCTTACACTCTCTTATCTTGGAAGCTCCCTTTGACAAGACGAGATTTAAGATGTGAGCATAGCAGCGAATGAAAAGGGCCTGTGGAATTGTTTCCTTAACTTTCGCTTGCACCCCATTCAATCCAGAGGCCATAACAGCTGCTCCATCGTAGCACTGCGCGACCACTTTGTCAATACAGCCACTCTCCCTCAGGAACTCCAGCAGCCGTGTAGCTATGGCCTCTGCTCGTTTGTCCTCTGTCATATCTTCGTACTTGAAGAAACGCTCTTTTATCCCATCGTCAGTGACATATCGAAGCACATATGACATCTGCGCCACGTTGCTAATGTCTGTCGTTTCATCCAACATGACCGCGACAAAAGGTGCCTTCCTCAGCTCCTCTTTCATGCTATCCGTCATTACACTAGCGACAGCGCTGATCAGGTCATTCTGAATCCTTGAAGATGTGCCGGTAAATACTATTGATGTGGCGAGGTGTGTGTGCAGGTCGCTGTCATATTCTGCCACTAAATACAGCAACTCTATGTAATTCCCCTTGTTTGATGAAGTTACACTCTCATCGTGACCTCGGAACGGCAACTCCTGCTTGCCCAAGTACACCACACAATTTATCAGGCGTTTCAAAATTCCTCGGTTCCTCTTCACCTTTTCATTATGAAGGATGACACCCCGGCGTTGTTGCTCATCCAGCTGGAGCTCTATCCTGGTGTCCCCAAATGTTTTAAGCCGAATAGTAGCTCTGAGGTGACCTGAAGCATTCTGATGGCGATGTGCTGATTTGGATAAACTTCCTAAATCAGAATATCCATCTCTGGCCCATGACCCACTGTCCGCTCCAAAAAGCAAGCAATCCCAGCAGTACAGCTTGTGTTCCCTGGTTGATCCGGTCATCCAGTTGTATCTGGCGTAATTGCCGATATTAAAATGCCTCTCGAACCGTTTGGTTTTTTTAACCAAATTAAGCTGTGGTGTTGGTCGCCCTTTGGTAATTAACTCCAATTTATCCGTGTAACTCATTCTTGAAAAAGACTCGGTTAGTAGTTTCGCAACGATGTCATCACTATCACTAACGTGAGCCATCGTGAATATACTAATTCCGCCTAGCTTGACCCGTTGATATATCACATGCATAAACTTGGCAGCGCAGCGGGCGGAACTTGTCATAAAGTCCGCGATAATAAAGCCCTCCCATTTAGAGGGAAGATATGATTGGTCAATTGTACTGTCACTTGACATTACTCTCTCGTTGTTTTACTATAGCGGGCCCTCTGTGAATCGCATAGAGGGCCAGACAAGCTTTTTTCATGTAACCCTTCACATTCAAACAGAAACTGAACAGGCAGATTAGAAAGATTTATTTCTTCGGACATTTTATTTTAAATACAATTAAATCGAGTTTTTTCGGTAAAACTAATGAAAAATATAACAAAAATAATATTTAAAAAAAAAAAAAAATTTTAAAAATGTTTTTAAATATTTTTTTTTAGAATATCTTAGGCCCTCACAGAGGGCCCTGACGGCTCGCCGCTGTAATACAGTAACATGTTGTGAAATCCTGGTAATCATTTATCCTGTACATTCACAGTAATTAACTGTGCCTGTATTGATTTCACTGTGAAATTCTAAATTACAGTGTTATATTGTGAACATTATAGGTAAAGACTGTAAAGTGGTAAAACAATAATTTATTGTAAAATATTACAGCTAAATATTGTGAAATCATGGTAATATTTTACAGTGTACTTTCACTAGATACTAGATTTGGAGCAAGTGTTTTATTATATCACTCCATGTATTTGACAGATTGAAATAAATATTGAATTGTGCAATTGGCAGATAAGCAGCTAAGAAACTTCAGAATAATATATTAATACTAATAATCACACAATTCCCTCAAAAAATTACTTTTAATCTGGCTTCAGTCCTAAAGTCAGAATTTGGGATTGTTATACAAATGGGACTGTTGAGTCACCTTGACTCTTAGGATGAGTTACAATGCAATTTTAAGATTAATCCAAAGATTTTTCTCTCGCTTGTGGCCCTTAAAAAAAGCTGTGTCATGATATAACGTACCTCTGAATTGTATGCAGTTTCACCACAGAGAGATTAACCCTCTAAACCAGTGTTTCTCAAACTTTTTCATACCAAGGACCACTTAACCAATAAAAAAAACACTCGCGGACCACCAAACTCCACAAATATCCAGAAACACATCGTTTTTTACAAATCGCCTGAAAATTGTACAAACAAGTGGCAACATGTGTGATGAAGGTGTTTATCTGGGTTATATAATTCAATCGAAAGTGAAACTTAAGCTCGCTCCATTGCGGAGATATTCCCGCGAGAGTGCGGAAAACTTTAATTAATTAAAAATGTGAAATGTTACCAATATACTCACGGACCACTAGGGGGCGCTCACGGACCACCAGTGGTCCGCGGACCACACTTTGAGAAGCACTGCTCTAAACGTTGCAGGTGTTTTTATTGAAATAATTGTTCAGGGCCCACAAAGGTGGAGTTATATTTCTCAAAAAAAGACTTCAAAGTGCAAAATATATTACAAAGTTGTGCGACTACCCACACATTACCTTAGGGCATCTTATGTGGCAAA